TTTGAGAATGTATTAATGATTAATCTTTAAAACTGTTGTATATAATATCTCTGAAATAAGGGAATAAGAAGTAAATGCAGGCCGGGAATGATGGCCACCATTTCATTTCAACTTGACGAGAATAACATAATGAAGGGGGATGACCATTAAAAGTTGAATGGCTGAAGCAGTTCGAACAACTGCGATAAGGGTAGTTAAGCATGACAGATAGCTGGATTCCTTATGGAAAATGTAAAGTAATTTAATCAACAGTGGTTCGCCTCCTTCAAAAACGAGAATTTGAAAAGGTAATTGAAAGAATTTTTAGTTGTTAAATAAAAATGGTGATAGGAGAATAAACAAGTTTTTCGACGAAATCTTCATATCACTTGTTTTGTTTTTCGATAAAATAGGCAGCAAAATACTGAAAAATTGAACTAAGAAATTGAGAAAAAAAATGACAATTTTCAAAATTTTTTCGGTGAATTTAAATTGAAATGCAAAATTCAAAATGGCCATCCAAGTGTTATCCTACAAAAATTACTCTTTTAAGCTAGATGAGTTGCGTGATGAACAAATATGCCGTAATGAATCAATAAATCAAACTGTAGTAAATCCATTAAAGTAAACTGGAAGTTATTAAAACAATAAGTTAAAAGGGAACCTGATTTCATTTAGGCTTACGCTTTAAAAGACTGGACTATTAAAGATTAGAGGAATTAAGGAAGATGTGGTCCCCACTTATAAAATTTTGTTTAGTTTGGCTAATTTAGAATTATATGAATGCCTCTAAATTTTATAGCCTATCCGTAAGCTATAAATTCGTATAAGAATGAATTATACCAGTTTTTTCCATATAAGTGGTCAGTTTTCAAATGAAATTAAATAGGAATATCTGCTTTGCAGAAATTGCCTTAAATCAGATAAAACTAGATTTCGAGGACCTGGAAACAGACCGTTTATTCAGATAGGCATTTGCAAAGAGTCAAAAACAAAAAGAAAAAAATCTGGCTTTACTGGCTTTTGATTATCAGAAAATATTAAATAGTTCCAATTAATTAATTAATTAACAAAAATTAATAGTTCCAATTCATGTTCTGATATTTCTTATTCTTAAAAACTTGGAACAAAATCAGGTTGCTTAATGAATCCAAAATTCAATGACCCTGAAATGCCAATAATATTAGATCACCATCGATCAGTTCAGAACCTATTCCATTAGTAGAAGTCAATTGTCGTAATAAATAATGTCGTAAAAAATTTGAGAAACAGAAAACTGGTCGTCTTCCGATACTTTACAAAATACCATGCGATGGACATTTGTTGTTCTTTGTTTGACATTACCACCATCCAATCGGTGAGATACAGCTCCGAAAATACGATTTTCATTTGTCTTGTGAACAATAGATTAGATACAAAAGAAAGTAAGACTGCCCCAAATTCCTTCTTATTAAATTGAATAAAGTTTAGAAGAGGGACAATAATTATCATTTCGATAAGCCAATATTTTTCAAAGATCGACGCCAAATATCAGAGTATTGTGCCAAGTGCCAAACTCATATAACCAGCAGATGATTTGACGTTACCAATAGAAAATCATCTTGTGACAACCCAAATATTTTTCAGTCTTTTCCAGATTAACTGAAATCTTAACTTCGCTACTGATTTACAATCCCGAGTCCGCTAAATCAATTTCCTAAAAAAGAACAAATTATAATTTTTTTTTCATGATAGAAGGTGAAAATTTTCCTTATCATTAAAATGAATTTCTTATTAATTTCATAAAAGATGGAAGGGTTTTCTTGTGGTTAAAAAAAAATTTTCTTCTTTCATTACAAAAAATTATAAAAATCATTGTAAAAAATTGGCGTCAAAAAAATTTAGTGGTAATTATTAATCAGTAAATGCGTAATTAAGAGTCAGCTGATTAAGAACAAGCAATAAAATCTGTAGTTAAATCTGTATCTGTAGTTTTTGCTTGATGATAACGAAGAAACATAAGAAAAAATTGTAATGAACAGCCACTTTTGATAAATACAGTTCCAATAGTACGACTCAAGTAAAACCAAGATCTTATTTTTTTGAAGAAGAAAAATGAGGAAATAAAAGGAAATGAACGGAATTTAACTGCTTAAAATTACTGGCATATGAATTATTAGCTTGAAATATTGGATGAAAAGGAATCTCTTTTTCTTCTTCTTCTGGTACCTCGCACTATTGCTAGCCCATTGGCGACAATAGTAAAATTCCATCCAAAACCACCTCTGAAACTAAAGTAGAGCGATGGGCGTAAACTCCTGTGGTAGGCGACGAAAAAACGACAACTTGAGACGATATTTTTAATGCAGATGGTATTCAATCCAAAATTGATATAATCATGAGAATCTGTTAACTTGGCAATTTTTGATGCATCTTAGAGAAAATTAATAAAAGGCAGATATCTTCTCAATGACTATTCCAGAGAAATTTAACGAGACAATTATTACCTTTTAAATGCAAGCGACAGCCATAATTCAACCTCTCACAAAGCTGAAAATTGTAGAGGAGAGAACATAGTCTTGATGCACACTGGTATGTGTTTCAAAAACTCCCGTCGATTCCCCATAGATATTTGCGCCAATTGTGCTCTGTCGACCGAATCAAAAGCAGCGGCAAAATAGATAAAGGGCAATAACGAAAGGCTGTAAATATTGAAATAGTATTCCAGTCATCTTCTTTTGAACTAAATTAGCTTGAAATATTGGACGAAAAGGAAGTAAGGAATCAGTATTTTCTCGAAAAGGTATGAACCTATTCAGAAAAGAGGATCTTAAAGAAAAACCTTCATCTAACAAGCTAATTCCTCGTTGCGACCTGTCACAATGTTTTTTAGGAGCAGAACACCCTCGTTTCAGTCATATTGAAATAGTCATTTTTTTTCCCACACCAATAAATATAATCTTTGTAGATAGGGGGTAAAAAACGCTGAGCAGCATTTGATGAGCTCAGTTCACAGTTCTTTTCATTGTTGTTAAACTTGTAAGTTACAGAGATTACCTCGTACTGAGTTAGTGGTTCACAAATAGTACGGCTTTAAATGTTCCACTTATGTCCACGATATTAGAAGGATAATTAAGCTCAGCTTCAAAGAACTCCTCCCCATCGAGAGAGAAGACGATGATCTTGACGGAATTCCATCTTCAACCTGAGTTATTTCATTGATTATTTCTCGACAGTTAGACACGAGCGCTCTGGCAGTTAGACCGTTCCATCTAAGGTCCAGCTCAAATCCTTCCATAGGGCGGATTTAACTGACCTAGAGGAACGACTTCAACTGGGACAGCTTGGTAATTGTGTCATTTAGCTACTGGCTAATGTCCCTCAACTTGGAATAAGCTCGAGCTTTTAACTTGAGATAGTGAAAAGATTTTGGGGGTAACTATGCCTTCATATTCGGGTCTTGCTTCCAACCATAATGGATCCGACCCATAGCTACTTTCTATTACTATTTTCAGTTCGCAGTGTGTGGGTCACCTAACACAGTACCACTCTTTCATCGATGAATGAGTCCTATTTTATACTTTTCGCTCTATTCTTATTTTTATTATTGTCAATATTCTATAATTCAACTCCTTTATTATTCGCTGCACTTATTAACTCAGTAAATTACCCTAATTTCTTCACCAAATAGTAATTGGGACTTAGACTTTCTAAATTTTCGAGAAGCGAAATTCTTCCTTTTTAAAAAAACACTCACCATTTCTGATTAAGGCCGTTCTCCCTGGCTTGTCGGGCCAGTTAAATTGCGGCAGGGAGTCACTTGATAGAGGAAATATAGGCGGGTGGTCACCACAGCTGCGTTAAACGATTTGAAAAAAGACCTAACAACCTTATCAAGACAAACCCACTCTTAATAACATAGCTGCTTTCTGCTGGAGCCGACAAATGCGATGAAGCCGATTTTTATTGGTCTGTGAAAAGCTGCGATTTAAATGGCGAATTTTCGCAGTTTAGGGAGTTTTTCCAGGTTTTTTCGTATATATTTAGTAATTGTAAAGCAAATATCTTTGAATTTAAGGCGAAAAAAATTTGGATGAAAAGGCAGCCAATGAAACTCCACTGAGCGCTTTTAAGCAGTGTAGGTTCGATTCTTTATGGAACCGACGTTGTCGCTGAAAATGGAAGAAATCCAAGTGTCGCTCGGATCTCCGAGGGAAGGGGAAGAGCCGCAGAGCGGTGGGAACAGAGCGGAGGGCGCAGAGGAGGGTGGAGGGTGCACGCAGAAACCTATGCAGAAATGTCTAAATAAAATAAATTTCTTGTAAACTTTTTCTCAATTTTCAGGATTTTTCTTTTGGTTAAAACAAATGTGCCCCTCAGAACGATGAAGGCGGTTTTGTCGTCAGTACGATATGTCATGAAATCTCAACATCGGATGGTGCCCGGCGTCGGTGCATCCAAATTGTACAGTTGTCCGTCTTTGCACTCATTATGTACCAGTAGGGTTCGTTTTCGCAAAATATTTTTCGTTTTCTTAAAAAATGTCATTTTGCTTTGGACTTTTTCATCAGGAAGTTTGAGGATAAATACAGGTGGGGCGCCGATATCAGTTTGGATTCCATTTTTATTATTATAGCTTTAATTTTTGCAAGAGTCAATGAAATTCTGCTTGAGCGATGAAGCATCCCACTTGACTTTTTTTCCAAAAAATTAAATTATTATGGGAGTATTTTATGCTTTAAAGTCTTTATATTATTGAATTAAACTTGTTCATATATCTTTTTTTTTTTGTACTTTTGTATTTTTGTACTTTTTTTCTACATTTCACTCTCCATTTCTGGTTAAGTTCGTTCGCTCCATTGGCTTATTAGACCAGAGAATTTTTGTAAGGAAGCGGCGATAGAAATATAGGTGAATCACCAGCATAACTCATTTTATTTAGTGGTACAGATGATGTTATTTGCCCATTGGTCATTTGCGAGTCAAACGCAAAAATAGTTGGCACAAACCATTCTCAATAAACCCATCCATTCTCCTATTTTTCCATTTTTTCATTTTTGTTCTATCGAAAGTATTTCACAGTTATGGCTACGAGATTTCAACCGAGCATACAGTGATAGGCCAAGAAAGAATTTCCTTGTTAATTTAGTTGAAAATATCAAAGAAGAATTTGAGAAGAATAAAATTTTACAGGTTTGTAATTTGGACTTACTAAAAATATTAAGATTAAATAAAATTAATAAATAAATTATTGCATTTTTTTGCATTACTTTTTTCTTTTAATTTAATCACTTATATGTGTCAATTGCAGGAAAATAGAAAACAGTTAGATAAGCGGTTGAAAGAGCTTAATGATAGTGAGGCACTGCGAGATGCAAGGAAAAAATTTGTAAGTTTTTTCATGAACAATTGATTTTTATGAATAATATACTGATTTTTTATTGATTTAGGATCTTGTCGAAAGGGAGACAATGAGAAATTCCGAAGTCATTCGAGCAAAGCTGAAGGAATTAAAGGATTATATGTCTCAGGTTTATTTATAATGCTAATTTTTTAGCTTAAGCGTTCAAATTCATTCTCTCTTGAGATATGTAATTTTGTTTGGTCATGTCGAAGTTAAAAATTTCTGCATTATTATATAATGGTCAAATAATTTGTCATATTTTTTTCGAATCGAGTATTTATTTAGATGTTATCCTAATTTATATTAAATAAATCAGGTTTATCTATTTATTTAAATCAGTAGATAACGTAATTAACAAAATTATAGATTACGACCGAATTCCAAGCAAGTGAAGCGGGCAAAAAATTGTCTAAGGTTTCTGAAGAATCTATTAAACAAGTACGAGTGGCTGTTGAATCACTCGAAAAGGCTGCAGAAAAAATTGGGGATACTGAGATCTATCGAAATGTTACCGCGGTCTGTTCCAGAGTTTATTTTTATGGTTTTATATATTTTTTGAGTTGCTTAATGATAAATGATAAATCACTATTTTGCAGACTGTTAAAGTTGTCAAGGAGGAAGTAGATAGTATCGCCGATGTACGTATGTATGCACGACCAGGTAAGTGGTGAATTTTTACATATTTTTTAAATGTCGAGATTTCTTCATTTATAATCTTTTATAGAACAACTGAAATTACGATCCGTACTGGATTCAGTAAATGCATTTTCTTCTCGTATTATCGAAGCCAATACGTGAGTATAGTCGATTTAATTTTGCAAAAATTGTTTATTTTTTCTTATTGCTAATTTTATATATTTATTTTCACATTTTTGCTTCATTTTCGCATCGTTTCAGTTAATTATATAATGATGTATAATTTAGTGAAACGACGGGAGTTGAACTCCATAAAGAATCTAAGTGGTATGTTAGTTGGAAAGAATTTTCGGAGAAGAATGTTTATTTTAATAGTAAGTTTTTAATGCTTGGTATTTCATCAATAATTTTCAATTTTATAATCATACCTTTTATAGAACTTCTTGATTGGAAAATTCGCTATGATGAAAGTGAAAATCTTGCGATTCGTATGATGCGAGGACTTACTGATCGTATCTCCGCTATATTGTGTATATTTTCGTTTATTCTACCATGTTTTACTTTATCCGATTAGGTAACTCTTATCGGAAAATCACTTGATGATAGGACTAGTTAATAAACAGCATCACCCTGATTTTTGAATGACAGATTTCCTTCCAGAATCCTGGCACCGTCATTCCGAAATAAAAAATGGAAGCAAAACTCACTGAACCATTCTATCAAAATTATTTAGCAAGAATATTTTCTAAGATCCGAAATTCGAATTTAATTAATAAAAGTTGCGATTGTAGCACCTGAAAGCGAGATATCAGAAGTTTTGACCGAAATTGGAAAAGTTGATGCCAACTTCGACAAGTCAGATTGGCTTCGTTTTTGTGAAGTAGATGTAATACCGAATGTGCTTGAAGCTTATATACGCGGTGATTTAAAAGTATTACAGGATTGGTGTCATGAACGAGTTTGTTTTTTGACTGTGTTAATAAGGATCAACGGATTAAGCTAACATTTATTTAAATAAACTATATTGCTTTTTCAGGCTTTTAATGCTTTGGCAACAGTAGTAAAAGAATATGGAAAAATTGGTTACAGTATGGTAGATTCAAGAATTATTGATATCAATAAGGTTGAAGTAAGTCACTCGCTCTTTCCGGCTAGAAATATTTCAGTGTTTTGTCACATTTTTTTGCAGTTGGTGACGGGTAAAATGATGGAACAAGGTCCAGTGCTGATCATCACCTTTCAAGCATTCATGTTATACGTTGTGAAAAATTCTGAAGGGCGAATCGTTGATGGTGACCCGGTTGGTTTGCCACAGTTTCTTTTTTTTTTGCTCGCTTTCGATGTATTTGCAAGCGTAATCGTTCTTACAAGATTTCTTGTTTTGAAGAAACTTTTAATTTGTCATTTTTTTCTCTGATTTGTTTTTTAATACATTCTTAACGTTTTAGCATCACCCTGCACGTATTCACCACGTTTGGGTTATGTGTCGAGATATGGAAGAATATAATCCAGCAGTCGCATGGAAACTGCTGGAAGTGCATATGCAGAAGGGCAGCCTCTCTATTTAAAAATTTTTAATTTATTCTTCTAATGGGTCAAATTTGAAATTGTTGATAGCGAAGGAGCTTTGAACAAACAAAATTATTCAGTTATTGTAATAATTGTAAAGAAAATTTTTTCGAAATTTTTTTCGAAATTTTTTTCTATTATAAAAATGGTCATTCATATTAACGGTTATATTATTGTATTATACGACTTGATTTTTAATATTATTGTATATGAATCGAAATTTTCGAAATTTTTGCTGGTTTCTTTAATAATTATCTTTCTTTTCTGGACAATTTATCGAAATGAAAGTCGTTCCACTTCATACCATTTTTTGCAAGAAGCTGATTGCGTATTTTGCTGAAGTTTAATTTATCGAATTCGTTTAACTTATTGTATTTCTGATTTGGATCAATTGCAGGCATTTTCTTGTTGAAGCTTCTTAAATATTGAATTTTATTTAATTTTTTTTCTAAATATTTTCGTTTTTCATTTCACTAAATCAGTAGCTCATTTAATTGTTCATTGTTTAAATTGGTTTAAAATCCCTTTATAAAATTTCTTATATGTTTTCGTTTTCAGATATTCTTTTTCGGAGTTTGCGTTCGATTTTCCACGTAAAAACTTATAATATTTTGATTAATCTGAAATTTTATCTATTAATTTTTTGCATTATTTTTTATACTAAACTATTTTATATAGTTGTTAAAAGAATTTATAATCTCCCAAGCGCTTTTCAAAGTATTTTCAGTATATTAATAGAATATTTGTATTTTATTTTAGCGAAAGGTACGGTTTAAAAAAAATTTATTTTTCGAGAAATTTTTGCAAAGAAAGAGCGAAAAAGCTTTGGGGAAAAGCGTGATACCTATTATGGCCAATTATTCTTTTGTATTTGATCGTGTATTGGGTCATTATTGATTTATATTGAAACTTTATATCAAACCTTATATATCAACCTGCCACGTACAAATCATCAACGAATATTACAAATGGCAATGTAAGTTCTCGAACTGAGGGAATTGCTCTATTCCATTTGATGAAGTCGGTCAAATGTTAGCCGATTCTGTGAGCATGCGGTAAACTCCTGGTCATACCTGCGCGGGATGTCAGAACGTTTATGGATGTGCCAGGCAATATTCATCCGTATTCTATACAAATATTGTGTGGGTGTTACCTGTTCAAAATTCGTCTTCCTGATTCTGAGTCCAGGGCAATAGTCTACTTCGCACAAGAATTACTAGTTCTGCCATAGCGGTATTTTGGATAACTCTAGAAAAAATGGATTTGCGATTTTCGTATCTGAAAGGTACGATAAGCTCCAATCATTTATGATTGATTGGCCAAAATAAGTAGAATCTCAGTCAGCAGTGATTATGCTAAACACTGAAGATAGATGATAGATAAGCCTAACGTGCTAATGGCATCTTTCTCAAAAAAACAACATAGTGATTGCCTCACTATCTTCTGTGGCTGGCAAGTATGGTGTTGGCATCTGGTGCATCAACGTTTCGGTTTGCTGCGGAGCACGCTGTTACTATTTTGCTATCAACACATACTGCAGAAAACATGTGGAAATGGGTGTTATAGATCGCTGAAACAATGTTCCAATGTGTTTTATTGACTTTGTGGCTGCCTTTGATTCCATCAACAGGACAGGACTCCGGTAAGTCATACAACACGCTGATTCTGAAGAGATCGGACTTAACAAAGTGTACATGGGGTCGATGTATATCAGAATGTTTCTCCTCTACAATTTTCTACTATAGATTGGGTTACGACCACTGTTTGTCTGCATACAAAGTGTATACTAAATAAAGAGTGTGGTGGACTTTGAACACGCTAACATGTTGTCCTTTTCTTATGAGGAACTGCAACAAAGTGGTACCGACAGCAACCAGCGAAAATTGGTCTCCACTGCAAATAAAACTTTATTTTATATACCAGACGCACTTCACATTTATGCAAATTCATCAACGAAGGCCAAACTATAAATATCTCGAATCCATTCTCATACGCAATGTGTAAGCGGAAAGATGAAATTTGCAGCTCAGAAGGTTGCAGCCAGAAATGCCTACGCGTTATTAAACGGCTGCAAAATTTGGCCAATGAAGGTGGATTATTGTGGACTATCTGCCTTTAGAATCTGGCTTTCACCACTCTTGCCACTCTGTTTATTCACCAGTTAGGCATAATCTTACATGATTGCCTTACCCACCTTCACTCAAGTACTATCTACATTAAAAATATCGTCACAAAATGCCCTCTTTGTTGTATACGCTACTCCACATCTGTCATAGAAATTCATGTGTATCTCTCAAGTCGCCAAATCTTGTGATAGGAATTCATGTGAACAGAACCAATCAAGACTTGGACTAATACATTCAGAGGATGAAAGAAGCAGTCTTTGAATGCACAGGCACGCCAGCCATTAGACACAGTTTCCATCATTTTCAGGATCGGCATCGGATCTAGAAACTTGCAAACAAACTTGCAATTTAGTTGCCAGGGGAGCAGACCAAATCACCAATGGTGGGAGATACTAGAAGAGATTATTAATAATAATAATATAAAATCTCAGATAATAGAATTTTCCAACATCATTTTTTCGTGGATTGTGCGTATGACATTATTTCCATAATATAGCAGCATAAATGCACAGAAAATATAGGCAATACGAAAATTATAACCTTTGAAGCGACAAAACTATATATTTTATTTATAAATGACTATTGATCGATTAATTCTAAATGTAAAATGGAATTTTAAATAAATATAAAAGATAAGACAATTCAACTCGGTCAATAGTATACCCATATGAATAACAATAATAATAACATGAAATATTTCACTTCTTAGAAAATGTCAAAAGATCTGTCAAAAGAAAATATCAAAAGTAAATTTTGCAATTCACGAGTTGTGAAATGCACGTGTTAAAAGTCGACTAATGCTCTTCTAGCAAGCATTAAACAGCATCAAATAATTTTTTGCCGTTCACTATATACTAAAATATAGTTTGAAATTATTTATGATATAATATTCATTAAAGCATTAGTGCTTGAAAAAAAAAGGGTATATTAAAATTGCACGTATCAAATAGGACTTAACTGTTACTAGCCTATTTGAGTGCAAAGGAAAACAGATCATTTTGGTCGTTTATGATCTTTGATAACATTTGATCTCGCATTACTATTATCTACAGCGGTTCCGAGCCTATTTTTGTGTCAAGCATCCCTTTAAAAGTCTAATCAAATTTCTTGAAAAACATACCAAACTGATTAAGTGGAAAATTTCCTATATAATAGATTAAAAAAACAAATCGCTAACTTTATGTAAAGAAATATTAATATCAAAATGGAAAAATTCAATAAATTTCCTTTCGACTATCCTCTGTGAATGAGTTATATGTCTCCACAGGAACAATGCAATTAAATTAAATTAATTTTCCAAAAAATTCTTTAATATTTCAAGCTTAAAATGTCCATATTTTTATTTTAAATGTTAAATATTACTCACTTTCAAATTAAATTAAAATAAAGTTGAGAACCTTACTTTTTGGTGTCACGAAAAAACTTCGACTCAAGTAGTTTAAGTTCAAATTGCTTTGTTTGCGGATTGTCAAAGGTTTTGCATTTCTCCCAAGGTGCCCTCAAAAAATCATTTCTTAAAAAATAAACCATTAACATTTAATTTAAAAAATAACCTCAAAATTTGCTGTGGAAAATATAAATTGAAAAATAATCAATTATAAAAATAACAGTAATGGATTCTAAAAATCAATAATTAATAATCAATAATATACTTTAATACGATATTTCCAAATCTCTCCAGTAATTTCTAAACCGTTATATAAATAGAAATGATTTTAGAAAATAAAAAAACAGATTTTCATATATTGGGCAAAAGAATCAAACATGACGTCCGAATTATGTTTTTATTTTTGTAATTACCAAACATTTTTAGAAATAAATTAGAAATAGATAAATTTCTAGGGAATTATGCAACCACGATATAGAAATCTAATGATTATTATTATCAATTACCATCATCATTATTATTCTTAATTAGTACTATTTTTATTGATTATAATTATTGTTATTATCATTCATCATTATTATCAATTATTATAATAATTAACATTGCCCAGATTATCGCATCAAGCATCACGATTCACAACTTACACACGAAAGGACTCGCCATTAGAAAATCCGCGTGATGCTCGAGACCACATAAAAATAATACTAACAACCTATGGAACAAAAGTAATCAGAAATGGGCACTAACCACAATATGAGAATACTACAATTAAGTAACACGAAGCACTTTTTATAGGATGGGCAATTATTGCACATGAACTAATACACAGAGGATAAAACGAAAGAGCATAGCGAAAGGAAAAAAAGGAAAAAAGAAAGAGAAGAAAAGAACGAGAAAACAAATATGAGACCCATTGCTGTCCGTTTAATCGGAAAGTATTGTGATTAATTTAAAAATGGTGTTAAAAATAGAAAAAAACGAAAAACTAACAAAATATCGCATTTTGTAACTGGTAACTTCCAAAAATGATTCATTAGTGCAATATGTTGAACGAGTTCTTCAAGACTTATAAATCGCTGTGCACAATGAAGGCAAGTAAATACATTATCACTCTTATCACTCTTATCATCAGTATTACCGCTGAATTTCACATCAAAACTATTTCCTCCAATTTTTTCAACCAACTGCGACAGCTCACCAATCGCACCGACATTCCTTTTTGATTCTAATATATTTGGAACAACCAATTCCTCGTTGCCGACATTTGCTGAATATAACATTAAATAAAACAGAGTTCACCGCTATTCAAGATTTGTGGCGTGGCAGACTAGGCAAAAGCCATACGACCACTTCATAATGTGCTTCCTGTTTCTTTTCTCTTTCCTTTCCCTCCCTTCAATTTTTTTCTCTCTGTTTTCCGTTTCTTTCAAAATTTTCATTTTTCTTCGCATCATTAACCTAATTTAATTTAATTCCGTTGCCTAATTTACTTTGGCAATGCCGCACCTCTAACTATCATATAAAATGCATGAAGATAATACAATTCCTTTCACAAATCATTTGGTGTGAAATCCAATTATTGCCTATTCTTTGCCAGTGCATCGCATAAATAAAGTCAGAGCTATAACCTATTTTATTCAGAGTAAGTGATGTAACTAAGTGCCACAAGACGCGGAGCCCTACATTAATACCATAATTAGACGTGTGGACAATTGATACAGCAATTAACAGTGTGGCCGATATCAAAGTTTCGTGGGGAAAATAACCATGATTTTGTCCTTTATTGAATAACAAATCTTCCTTATCAGTGGAATAATGGAAATCGCGGGCAATTCGTTTCATTGGCGGATGAACGCATTCTTCGAGGCGTTTAATTGCCGATTCGTTATCATAAATGTTATCAGTAGTATCGACGAGGAATTCTTTCGTTCTCTTCGTTGGCTCTCTTAACACTTCAGCGCTAACCGATAAAGGATTTGCTGCAAATGCCATCGTAAAAAATGGAAAAGAAATTTCCCGGAAAAACGAATAGGGAAAACTTTGGTAAAGTTGGCAATTACCTGATGTGATTTTACGTGGTTCAGCTTGCTTTCGACGTCCAACCATCTCAACTAATTCTATTTCAAACACAACGATCGAAAACACAACGATTCGAGGGTCCACATGATAGATTGATTGATGAGTCAATTCGTGTGATTGATTCATCATTCGAATTTAAGTTGTGTCTCAACACGATTCTTAGAGTACGATAAATAATTAGTACTTTTCTTTACGTGGCTCCCAATTCTTCCGATAATTGTGGCTTTAGCTGATTGAGGGGGATTTTTTTATTCCATTTTTTAGTTTTATATATAATTTGCAGTTGGGGAGGTCGTCGTAGACTAGATTCATCCCCGCCTGTTTGTCTGGAAAAGCTGAGGTGATACGAAGTGATCTTCAAATGATCAAGAGGAAGATAGGATTATCGAAATATTTTAGCTAACGTAGGTTTGGCTGCGATGGAATTTTCATTGGTCGCGTCTCTTCTCAAATATTTAACCTTTATTTATTTGACTGTAAACCGTATCTGATATCTCACTTATAGTAATATTATATTAATTTATACTTCCTTAAGTATTTGAAAAAAAAATGGTTGGGAAGGAAGAACAGCAGTCTTCAGCTATACGTTCAAAGTTATCGAGTGATCCTTCTGCTGTTAGTTTTATTTCGCATTTTTTTTTCATTTTGACGTGTAGTTTCATTTATTTGGCTATGTTTTTGAAATGGTTTTTTTTAAATTAATTTTTCTTCATTTTTTTGTAAATAAAATATAAAATTTAAAATAAGTTTCGCTGAAAACTCTCTCAGTTTATTTTCATTTAATTATTGTTAAGAGTGCCTTGATGCTAAGTATTATTCGAACTTTAACTAATGCTTCTTCGAGTGACCAAAAACAGAGTGATTGCCAGCGTCTAGAAGCAGGATTCAAGGAATCATCTCATTCTATGGATAAACTTGTGCAAAGTATGCATTTTTACGATTAAAGTCTGTAGAAAATTTGGTAGATTTATGATCAAATTCGGGTTTGTCGTTTTATTTGCAGTTTTCTGAATTTTTTATATTTAGAGCATGAAAATGATGTTGGGACATGTTTGGATTCATTTAAAAAAGTATCAACACGAATCACAAGTAAGTATCATTCATTTGCAAAATAAGCTAATATATTCTTCAGTATGTCTCGTTTTTTCCAATAGCTGTTTATTGCTGATAAATGGAGACTTAATTGAAATAGTTGTTGTAATATGCTTTCGAAAGATCCATTCCAGTTTTTACTTTTAATTTTTTCAACAATATCCATCAATTATTATTTTATTTCGTTTTTATGTTGTCGAGAAAGAATCCATAGTGTTCGTGCTGGATTAATGACATGTCGATCACTTTTGCAATGTAGGCGGGACGATTTAAAACGACTGTGGACAGAAAACGCACAACAACGCCATATAAGCAATGTTCTGGCACAAATGTTAGTTATTTTGCTGAATCATTGGACCAGGTTTTTTTTTACGATAAATTTTTGGCAATTTTGCCAATAGATTTTTTGTAAAATTAAAGTTGTTAAAAGTTAATTAAATTAAAAAATTTAAAATTTAAATTTAGAACGATTTTTATGAGGATGAGTACAATATTTATCTATCTTTTAATTTCCCATGTTTTATGTTATTTTTTGCAGTAATTAGTTTTTGTTTACAAATTTTTTCGCCTTCGGTTTTATTTTAAATTCTCTTAAGTGAAGATAATATAATAGTGAAAGCAATATAGTGGAATTTTTTTCATAAATAAACTAGTAACAATGCTTTTGAAATTATTAAATTTCAAAGACAAATTACCTTAACAAAAAGAAAAAAGACTACATTTAAATTAAAAATTTACATTTACATTGCAAAATATTTTATCCTAAATATCTTTGAATTTCTATAAATTTTAAATCAGCCAAATTTACGGTTTTTGAATTTTTGTATTTTGATTTCTAAAATTTACATCGTTGTTTACCATTTATTTTATCTTACAAAAAATCATTTCCCAACGGCATCGTCATTTATCGGACGATTGAAGCATAGTTCAAAACTGGAGGAAGATTATAATATGATGAGTAATATAAAGATTTTGAACTAGCAGAAAGCAATAAAATAATAGAATAAGAAACGGGTTAAAGGTGAATGAAAAGATGAGGAAAAAGAAAGGAAAGGAAGAGAAAGAATTATAAATTAATGAAAAAGTGATATGATGTATGAAATTGAAACAGAAAAGTTTTTCAGAGAACAGCTAAAAAAAATCGAAAACAGTGTCGATGAAACGGTTGCCAAAGGGAACTATTTATTGGCAGCAAATCTTCTAAGTGAAGCTGGTGAGCGAACATCTAATGTAATTTTTTAATGGAAATATGACAAATTCTAAATGTACTAAACGAGATGTAGAAATAATAATGATTTTTTAGGTATACGCTTGTGAGATAAGATGATGAATTGTTTCACTATTATTCAGTTTTTTCTTAGTTTTCTTTTTTAGATCTGCTTTTAAATGGACCTTTTTCTAATATCGATGGTTTAAATGATTTAAGAAACAGCGTTCATCAAAAATCAAAGGTATTCAAGTAAATTGGGTTCTGCTGTAGCTTGATTATGAATAGTTATATCCTGGCAGATTTACCATGTTTTTTTTATTTAGCCATTCATTTTTATAATCATTTTGTCTTTCGATTGGGTTATCTGAATTTATTATTTCAATAAAGAACCTAGTTAAAAATTAAAGAGCTTAGTTATAACCCAATTCTATAAAAATATCTTTATTTTTGAAAATTATTTTATAGAAATTGGTAGAACACATAATGGACGACTTAATAAATCATCTAATTACAAGACCTTTTCAATGGCAGGTTATTATTTTTTCTAGTTTTTTGATTATTTAAGAAGAGAAATCAAATTATTTCATTTACATGGATTTCTTTTAGTTGCTGGAAATCATCAAGTCTCTGCCGGAGAATAAAGTTATAGAATCGCGTGAATGTATAGCTGTTTTAAATGCATTTTCGGATTCGAATCGAGTAGATCAAAAATCATTTTCACTTTCAAATTCAAATTCAGATAATATATCAGATCATTTAAGTCAAAATATCCAAGCTCTTTGTGTTTTCAAAAATTTATACTCAACTTTATCGCATTTTATTCAATTGATGCCAACGATGCTGCTTAGACAAATTCATATAACTGCTTCAGTTGTATGTAATGCATTCAGCAATAGTGCTAAAGGTGATGTCGAAAATCTTACGCATTATCTGAATTTGGTAGGCTTCTAAATTGATTCATTTGAAATTTTTTAAGAGAAAAAAATTAAGATTCTATCAATTTTAATGTTGTTTTTCTTGCCAGATTGGTTTTATCTGGCTATCAGACTGTCCGTTTAAATCATTGTTTTAAAATTGATTTCATTAATTTAATAATTCTAAATTACTTTTTTTGTAAGGGCGCTCACCATTTTTGGTTATTCTGGTTTTGCTGGCTTTTTAAACCAGGAAAATTTTGCCATGAAGTTTGGTAACAAAAATATGGTGGGGTGCCAGCAGAATCCGAACTTTTGAAGGACAGGTTTATCCTGCTAATAATCCCAACATAGGCACTTCCAAATGAGCCATTTTACATTCCGTAAAGTTATTAAATTGATGATATAATGAATTTAATAATGTTACAAATTGAAGATATTGAATCAGTTGAAGAGTAGTTACATTGTTCACTGTGCATTAGATGATGGTCTAAAGAAGTTGACGGTTGAAGAAGCTGGTAATGATGAGAATTTCATTCTGCTTTCGTCAAAATTTTGGGAAATGGCGCAGGATGCTATTGAGAAAGTTGTTGTTGAATATGTACAAATAAATAGTATTAATCCTACTATTTCTCAGAAGAGATCGAATACGGGTGAAAAGTTTTCATTGTTTAAATTTGATGCTTCAGCTTGTGCTGCATCAGTGCGCAACCGTCAGTCTTCTAAAAAGGTTGGTATTAAAGGTTCTTCATCCATCGGAGATTCTTGAACTTATCTCTAAATTTCATTCATAGGTTTATCTCATTACTTTAAAGCATAAAATTTTTATGCGATGAATTTTTTTTACATTGTAAAAATAATGTAAAAAACATTATTTTAGATGCAATTGGCCATCTGTGAGCCATCACCATGGAATATAACAGTGCTATATCCGCTTCTTGAGAAATTTTGCTGTGAACGGGAGGCGGAATCTGGTGAAAAACCATGCAAATTACGCAAATTCCTTCATTCCTTTATAATAGATGTATTTATCGATCGATTTAAAAATAAACTGGAACTACTAGCAGAGCAAGCGTTACAAGGTCGGGATGCTTGGCGACTTGTTCATTATCCCAGTCCGGTATCCGAATTTTCTCGCATCTGAAGTTTTGAAGCACGAATTTTTTTCGTGAAAAGATCATTATGATAATATGGAAGCCATATATGGGAAATAAGATATATAAAATATATAAAATATATATAAAATAAAAATCATCATGCGTGTAAGATTGGCTAGACAAATCTTTGATGTCATTCAGAAGTATTTCGCAGTATTCTAATTTCAATCGTATTAAAAAGTTATTTCGAAAAATTTGATTTCGAAAAATTTGATTTTACTGATTTTACAATTTACAAATGCAATTTTTACAATTTACAATTATAATGTTTAAATAAATTCTTTTCAGAAAGTTCTTGCTAGCTGTTATAATATGTTCGTGGTTTGCGAAGAAATTGGTAAACTTATTCAAACGATGGAAAATTATACGGAACGGCTCTCTGCTCTTTGGCTTCTAGTCATTGATGAATTTGCTAAAAGCACTATGTCAGTTTATGAAAAGGTTGATCAGCTGCTATTGTCCCTGCTTTTTTTGTTTTAAAGTTATATTTGTTATTTAAATAATTTTATTGAAGATGTTGCATTCGAACGATGAAGAAGAGAAAGATCGCAGAAAAATAAGTGCTGCTTGGGCTGTTGATGAAGACATTTCCCGTTTATTAAAAAGCTTACCTAATTGGTTTGCTGTAAGTCACCATGAAGCCACTCCAACTCCTTCTGCCACTACGCCTACTGTTCTTCTACCAGCTAATGAAAGTGAAAGTGAAATACGTCAACGAAATGAGCGTGAATCAGAAATTCTTATCGGTTAGTTGTTATTCTCATTTGGCATTCTTATTCAATTAATTAACTCTGTAATTATATTTGCTGGGAACCGACCTGTATCTCTCTCCCCAAGTGACTCTGTGGTGAAGGGGTCAGATATTTTTGATGCGGTGTCCGCGTCTCTCGAGGCGTATGATACTTCCAGTCCGGTGGTACATGCGATAAGTGCACAATCCGGGCTTAAAGCGATCCCAAGGATGATAAATAAAATATGCTCGCAAGCCAGGGTACTTGCTCGAAACATATCAAGGGGAACAGCTCTCTGCACGCATGGTGAGATTTTAGCCGTATCATTGTGGAACATTATATCAGAACGCTTACGGACGCTGAAAGTCAAGCGATCACTGTCCACACCCTTTATCGTGTGGATATCGCTTGCTTGTCGGAGGTCCGTCTTCCTCACTTTGAATCTCGAGAAATTATTAATCCTGGTTTGGAGCAGAGGTACTGGCTATATCACTATGCTTCGGACAACTCGGGGGAAATGGCTTAGCGATTGTTATGTATGATAAAGCCCATTCCGCTTTGACTGAGTGAAAACAGATAAGTGACCGAATGGCCTATACCCGTTTTAAGGGTAAGTTCTGCAATATTTCAGTCATCAGTGTATATGCTCCAACTTTGTCGGTGATAAAGATAGTTCTATGCGGAAAAACATGACATGGTCGTAGCCGTGAGAGACTGGACACGTAGGTCATAATGCCGCTGCGATGTCTTCTACAATTGGCAAATATGGCATCGAAGGCCGGTGCGCCAATGGGGAACGCCTTCTTCGTTGCCGAAGAGCATGAACTTTTTATTATACTAATATATTTGCTTCCGCCATCGTGGAAAACATCTAGTCACGTGGAATTCCCCGTATAACCAACACTTCAACCAGATTGATTATATCTCAGTCAGTTGGACTCAGGGTCAATATATGCAAAACGAAAGTCTTTTCATCATATGTACAAGAAGCTGATAAAATGCCTCGTTGTAAATTCATTGCCATTCAAGTAAGTGCCCGATTGGGTCCACTGTAATATCATGTGGCCAGGCATAAGACGATATTATAGCCCGAATCAAACAGCTAGAAATGCTTTCTTTCGGTTGACGAAACCTTTATAAAAGTGTCGTGAAATTACATTAAAGCTATTAAAACAAAAGTCCGCATCTTTATAGCCGTGATTCGTTCAGTCTTGCTATATGGTTTTGAGACATGACCAATGAGAGTGAAGGATATTAAGAAACTATTTACTTTTGACTACTCTTGTCTAAGGTATATTTTCGGTGGTTCTCCGTCATCCACCACAAGAGTTTCGCATATTTCATTACTTGCTGACCGTATGATGGATAGCGTCAAAAGCAAGATGGGCCAATCAAGACCCGGACTAATACGGTAAGGAAAAATTTTGAACGTATAGGTGGACCAGCAATATATGGACTCAGTCTATGGAAAAAGGAATGGCTTCTATTACTATCGACGATGGCATCAAACTGCACCGTTTGAAAGTGTCATCCTACCCTTGTAGTCGTTGGAACCAGCCTAACCAGTAATGGTGAAAGCTGTCACATTATTGAATGTCTTTTATTTATGTTTTGTATCACTTGTGCTAAAAAATGAGAACTCTTCATTCGATAGTTTTTGGTTATACCACCATTTGTGATTAACTTCTTTTTTCCACGGATTTCTAGATGATGCCATAAAAAATCCATGGACTTTCACTTTTCAAATTTTAGAATTTTTAGAAATTTTATTAAAATTTTTGTATTTTAAAATTTTAAATGAAAAATAATCATTAAAAATGAAATTTAATATATAATGCGAATTTTAATTAGGTTCCCATTCACTCCGTGACTCAGGCATTCATAGAGTTTGTGCACTAATGGATTAGACCGTTCACCTAATGTGATTTATCTCGTTTTTCTATTCTTTTTCATTTTTGCCACTACTTCTTTCATGTCCGTACTTTTACTCTGGTCTATATTTCCATCTCCATGTAATCTTCCATGATCTTGTTATTTTCTAATAAAAAAGTGATATTCTACTTAGTTGAAATCATAATTTCATGCTTTTTAAAAAGCTTAAAAAGCTTGAAAACAATTAATTTCAACGGCTGAGGTGTCATCTATTTTGAATTAAGGGAATTTGGGAACAGCTAAACAACTCGTTCGGGACGAATTGATAACGGACATGGAGCTGATTTCTTCCTTGGCTTGTATGCATGATTCTTTAAAATGGTTTTGTACCAGTATGCGAACGCTTATTTCTACACTTCCTGATTCGTGTAGACGTTCGATGCGCAAATGCATTATTCAAATTCAGAATTCTTCGAAAAATTCGAAAACTCAAGTTATAGTTTAGTCTTTTTTTTTGAATTGTTTGGTGAGGTGGTGGAATGACCCACTGTTCTGGAATGGCTTTTATATCGGAGCATCGCCGTTGGAATTTTATTACCGGCAGACTTCCCAAAAATTCAGATGGCTCATTTATATTTCTATGAACGCTCGTGAAGGAAAATTACCTAAATTCAGGAACTAGATTTTTTTTGAATAGGTTATTTCCTGTTTTTCATAAAAAATATAACCTATAAAAGACTTTCGATGCAAAATTTTATTGCATTATCCTTAATAATCTAAAAAAGTCGGGAAAAATAAGAAAAAGTTGATGGGTTGATGGTATGAGAATTTTCTGAATTTAAGTAGATAATAAGCGGAAGTAATAAATTTCGCAGCAAGAAAGCATATATGCCGCAGTTGAGCGACGTTTGGCTGAACTGGATTCGACTGCTGACACATGTCTGTTAATTATTCATCTCGAGCTTAGAGTTCATTGTTTTTTCCATCTGTTGCCATTGGCTCGAACTCGCTCTTCATTACCGCATGATGAACTGGACAATGAGGTACGCTTTATTGTAATTGATTTGGAGTATTGTTGTACTTCTCGTTTTGTACTTATATGTAAATTAAAATTTTTATTTTTTATTTTTGCTAGGTTAATGAAATGAAAGTTTGGTTAATGAAATTTTCATTAGCGAAAGTCGTTTCAGGTAATTGATCTGGGCCGTGATTTAACACATTTCCACCAAGCTCTTCATTCCTGTCTTCCTCCTCATAAGATGAAATACCTTTTCGACGGCCTTGGCCACCTGTCTGCTTCAATATTTATACATTCAAGGTTATTTTTAAAAAATTAATTTTTGACCAAATATTTTCCAGCAGTCTCATTATGAGTTTCGACGATAAACATTTCGAAATATATCATCCGAAAATTGCGACAGGCCTTTTCAGTCGCCCGCGTTCCATTTTAGAGTTATATCTTGTTCCTCCTCGTCGTAGGATGGCCACATCCACAATTTTTTTCTTCCATAATTTTTTACAGTCAGCACATGCAAAAATTGACGGAAAATGGAAAAAAACGAGTCTGCCGAAATATTTTTGCTGTTCAACAACGACTAAGTCATCTAACAGGTCGTCGAGAAAGTGAATTAGAACGCGCACGAGCATTTTTTGAACTACTAAATCATGATCCTGACCAGTTGCTTGCGCTTATACTTGAACGTGGTGCCGTTTTTTCTCATCTTGAATATACTTATCTGCTAGCGCTTGCTATAAGGTATGCACAACCTTTGTTATTTCTCCATCGGCTGGAATAATCAATTTAGACAACCATGATCCCAAAAAATTTAGATCGCATCCGATTTTAAGTGCTCAACCAGGTGCGTTGGAACAAAGAATATCGCAACTCAAACAAATATTATCTCAGATCAAGAAGTCATGATTCCGAGGCCAAATTATTTTATCAGTTACATTGGTTCAGTTTTTTTGAAAACTGAGATCTACAAGGAGCTGTGGGGTTTATATATATATATAAAAATTTTTACTGATTTGCCTTAACAGCAAAACAATTATGCAACAAAAACTCATTTTTTGAGGAACAAATATTCAAATAAGAGAATATAGGAAAGGCATAATTTATTTCTTTTTTGTTCCTACTCCGGCCTTTTGCGCAGCTTTCGTAACTTTCCCAGCAGCTTCGGTTTTCTCCACAGCTTTTATTACTCCAACAGCAACCGTCTGGCGCATATCACGGACTGCGAACCTTCCTAATGGAGGATAATCTGTAAACGATTCAACGCACATTGGTTTTGACGGCACCAATTCCACAATACCCGCATCACCAGATTTAAGGAACTAAAAATTTTTTCGATTTCTATAAAAATATGCTTTATAATAAAAGTAAAATGAAGGACCTACCTTTGGATTATCCTCAACCTTTTTTCCAGATCGTCGGTCAACTTTTTCCTTCAATTCGGCAAATTTGCAGGCTATATGTGCAGTATGGCAATCAAGTACAGGAGTGTAGCCTTGTGCGATTTGACCCGGATGATTCATAATAATAACCTTAAGAAAAAATGGTTGAATAATAGGTAAAAAAAAATCCGCAAACATCTATTAACCACTGTAGCAACAAATTAATGTGCAATGAAAAAACAAACATTAAATCATTTATAATTTTTCTCCATTCGAAAAATTTACTTGAGCTGTGAATGATTTCGCTTCCTTGGCTGGATCATTTTTGGAATCAGATGCCACCGAACCTCTACGAATATCTTTAACAGAAATATTCTTAACATTAAATCCAACATTATCACCAGGTAATGCTTCAGCCAGTGCTTCGTGGTGCATCTCAACTGATTTCACCTCAGTTGTAAGGTTCTGTGGAGCAAAAGTTACAACCATCCCAGGTTTTAGGACACCAGTTTCGACACGACCAACCGGCACGGTTCCGATGCCTAAATTTTTTCGCAAATTATATAGTAATCATTACTGGGAACAAACATATTCCTGAGTCTGGCCGTATACCTCCGATTTTGTAGACATCTTGTAAAGGCAAACGAAGCGGCTTATCGGTGGGTCGTTGAGGAGGCGTGACTGAATCCAAAGCCTCTAGTAATGTCTTTCCAGTTGCTGAACCTTCCTTTCTTTCAATGGACCAACCCTTGAACCAAGACATGTTTTCCGATGGTTCCAACATATTATCACCATTGAAACCTGAGATAGGCACAAACGGAACCGCTTTAGGATTATAACCGATTTTCTTAATATAATTCGAAACTTCATTAACTACTTCATTGAAACGAGCTTCAGAGAAAGGTGGTTCTGTTGAATCCATTTTATTGCAAGCGACAATTAGTTGTTTGACACCTAATGTTTGTGCAAGCAATGCATGTTCCCGAGTTTGTCCATTCTTAGAAATACCTGCTTCAAACTCGCCTGTTCCACAAGCGACAACCAATACCGCACAATCAGCTTGCGATGTTCCTAAATTTAAAATGAAATTGATACCTTCTCGATTAATAAAAAATTTAAATGGGTTGGAATGCCATGCTGCTAAAGGTTCTAAATATGTTGGCCAATAACCCCAACAATCCACAATGCTTTTGTATACGATCTGCGAGAACTAAATAATTTTCAGAAGCTGGTATTAACACGCTAAAACATCAGATAAAACCTTATTGTATCATTGATCACAAGTAGTTTGGATAAATCACAATTTATTAAGTAATGTGAATAAAAAATCAAAGCATGTATTTCCCTAATATTAATGGGATACTTGTCTTGCCCTTAATAAAAGTTGTTTTTATGTATTATTTTTGCATCATTTGTATTATCATATATCATATAATGGATCTGCAATTGTTACTCAAAATGATCTGAAAAAGAAAAAAATGTTTCCCAGTTTTTACCACAGCTAATACCAATAGTATATATAGATCACAAAAGCTCTCTGAAAGTCGTCAGCAAATTCCAAGAGATTCTGAGAGAATCATGACAGCAAATGCTTGGGAACTACTGCCATAAGAAAATATCAATGATTAACAATATACAATGCCCAACCTCTTTTCAACATAGGGATTAAGAATTTTCAAAGCAAATCAATAAAAATAAAATACCAGTAATCATATTTTTGATGAAATCACGATGTCCAGGTGCATCAATAATTGTCACATAATATTTAGCTGTTTCAAATTTCCATAAAGCAATATCAATTGTAATACCACGCTCACGTTCCGCTTTAAGTTTATCCAAAACCCATGCATATTTGAACGATCCTTTTCCCATTTCTTGAGCCTCTTTCTCAAATTTTTCAATTGTTCGCTTATCGATTCCTCCACATTTATAAATTAAATGCCCGGTTGTTGTTGATTTACCAGAATCGACGTGACCGATCACAACAATATTAATATGTATTTTTTCTTTCCCCATTTTGATATTCTTGCAACGTTTAACTTAAAAAAAGTATTGATTTAACAAAAAATCGCGTAACGAGGGATATATTACACGAATGAACTTAGTTTTAATTTAAAAATGTAAAAATGTAAGCGTTGTTGTATGTGCGCTTTTATGGAAAAAAATATAAAAAAAGAATTAGAAAGAAAAACAAACTAATATTGTACCCACTTGAACAAATAAGCAAGTCTTCAACATCGCAACCGTTTTACGATAAAAATTACTTTTAAGTAAAAACTGGCATGTAATAAAATTAAGCTACATGCGATATCGACGCAAAATTAGTCCAAATTTATCTTCGCTTCTTTCCAATATCTCACGTCACGTCAAAATTTTACAATACAATACAGAAAATAGGGAAAGAGTAAACTTTATCAAGCATTGTATTAGGGAACATAACATGATATTTTATCAAATTTTAAGTGAACAGAAAGAAAAAGTAAATTACTATCATTATATAATGTACGCTCGCTTCATTTATTTCACACTGGATGCTCAGGTTTCTACAGTAAACATCGAAATAAGGCAAAGAAAAGACCTATTCAGCCTTTATTCAGACCTTGTATATAAGTAATGCTGAGGTTAAAAATAAATATAGTTAAAAATTTAGGTTATCTTTTCAACTTATATCATACGCTGCAACGAAACTAGTACTAAATCAAAAATTAATATCAGCTAACTGATCAGCTGATTAACACCTCAATTGTCCTTATTCATCTTTTTCTAAACAGCGTTTAGCACTTCAAGTTTACCTGACCCCAACAGATGAAGTAAAGTGAGGAAATCACCTGCGGGCTGAAGTACAAGAAGTTCCAAGCTCTACTCAAATCTCATTTTCATTGCAGATGAACCGACCTCCTGGAACAAACGTCCCGATAATGTTCTATCTTCAGTGAACGAAATATGGCTGCCTATCTGATAAAATAAATTTAAAAACCAACGAGAATAAAATGTGGGAAACGAAGCCATCGGAGCATTGCTGATATTAGTTTAAAATGAACAGTAATGCGACACAGTTCCACACCTTATGGCCACGATTCTTGTTCACCGAACTGAATTGAAATCGCTAATTTCTATTCACTCTCTACCAAAATGGTCCCATTAATCGGAGAAATCAGCCGAAGGAAAAACGGTGAGTGCTATTGAAAGAAAAGAATCCATTCACTTAAACAACTATTTATTTTACCCATATAAATTTCTTTTAACTATTAGAATTTCAAATTATCCAAATTTCAAATTTCATTACGAATCTAAATGCTTTCCTTAATGTTTGTTTCAACCGATTCCTAATTTCTGCCTAAAACAACTACCACTCACCCCCTCTCCTCTCCTCTTCCCCCTCTCTCCTTCCCTCCGCTCCACACCCCCAACTCTCCACCAAGCTTTAACCATCTACCCTCCACGACTATATACCTAATTTTTGCAAGTCCCCAAATGAGAACAATGTACCTGAGCATCATTAGTACATTACAGTATTCCCAGTGGTGTACGAACTTTTGGCACCCCTCCAACGCGGGAGTTCAAATCTGGTCCTTTACTGATTGACAACTGTTTATGTCCATTTCACGAATGTGTTTTATTATCACTTTTTATTTTATTATCACAGCTCATTTGATAAGTGATTACTTTTGAGAGGCAAATGTAAGCCAAAATACAAAGAAGATGAGATGTCTAACAATTAAATTGAATTTAATGAAAGCAAAAATTGGGAAATTCAATGATAAAGTGATTACAAAATTTTTTAAAAAAAACTTTATCCATTTATTTCCAGTAAGAAATTATTACAAAGAAAAGAGAGGTAATCTTTAAGAATATTTTACTCTTCATTTGAACGAATAGAATTTAAATAAAATTAAATAATAGTTAAATAGTAATAATTATTGCAATATTTCATTAAAAAAAAACATGAAAAATTTAAGCGATAAGCGATAACCATGCAATAATGAAAAGTGTTCCACCTATAGGAACATATTTTCGTGCAATTTCATTACCAGTAAAACTATAATAATAGCAGTTACCACAAAAAAATATTATTCCAGCAGTGAAAAGGCTTGCAGTTAATAACGGATATCTAGCAAACGGTGAACTCAGTATTGCTACCGAATGAATTATATGATATCGCGATCCGACTTCAAACGCCCGAATCCTTCTTTTATCATTGATTTTATTGAATTCTAGAGCTGAAATAAAAAATTATGCATTAACAAAGCATATGTATTTATCAGTTCTCTAATACGGTTGTTTTTTCCAGGATCACAATTTCTCGACCAGAGAAATTGCATTCTACGTATACACCGCAGTCAACATCACCAAATATCAAAAAATATATACAGTTATACTTTCATTTCCAGTTAGACTTAATGCACAAAAGGTAATTTGAAAACATGGATGGAAGTACATACAACCTACACTGTTCAAGAACATCGAACGACTATTAGTGCCAAATACTTTCACTAAAAGTACAAGTGAATTTGCACCATCAACTGGATTTTAATTTTCAACTGCAGATTCACTTCCGCCAAGAACCAACACTATAAACAAACCCCCTTCGGCGATAATATTCCCCCAATCTTTGAAAAAAAGGATTTCTTTTCTTTTCCCATATGAATACTCTAAAGACTCGCAAACACCGTATTAGATAAAATCCAGCATCAATCAGATGCATAGAGCAAGCATACAGCGTAACCAAATATTAAAAACGAAAGAAAAACGTACCATGTGCGCCATAGGCAGAAAATGAAACAGCTAATGCTCCCGAAATTCCGGCAAAGCGAATTATGTTGGAACTTGGAACTAAGAGGAATTGAACAGCATCTTTTGTCGGCATTATACCAGATGATCCAATACCTTTAGGCGGGAATGGGAAAACCCACTTCATCCACGAAGCCCAATCTGCCATGATACCTTTAGGATTAAATTTATTCAAACATCTGAAAAAACACCATGGCAAATCATGGTCACCATCACGGCTTTACGCGGCCCTTAGTTTCGCTTCGTGGCTTACTTCGTTGACGAAACAAGTCTCTTCGACTGTGTCACTGTACATGTGGTTAAAGCAGATTTGCAAATTCTAATACTTGCCTTTAATGGAAAATAAAGAGTGACCTTCGCTTATCGATGAGGAAATAAAAGGATCCAAGGAAGATGTTAAAAGATTTTAGACTTAAATTCTAGACTTGACGCCAGTAAAATAAATTATTGCTGAATATACAAGGAAATGAATAAAAATAAAAGAAGCAATGAAAAAAAATAAGAAAAAAGGAAAGAAAATGAAAAATGAAGGAAAAAATAAACGACCTCGTTTATTTGACCAAATAACCGAAAAATAAGGAAAATTTTATATAGAAATTTGTAAGTAATGAAAAGAAGAAAGAAAAAGGGAAAAAATTAGCAAGAATTTTCAGTCTCCGAATCCGATAGATAGTCGTTACTATCTTCCGGGTGAACCGTACCACGCATAGCTAACTGAATTAGCGCATAGCAATCGACATTTCTTGCCACATCAATTGGTCGTTTACGATCGTTATTCTTCAAATTCGTGCTTGCACCATTATTCAGTAAAAGGCGGACACAGTCGGCATAACCTTTCCAAGCAGCTGCGTGTAAAGCAGTATCGCCCAATTTGTTCTAAAAAAAAAAAATCAAAAAGATCAAAGTAATTCCACTATTAAATTGATAATTTTTTAAATTACTTAATAGGATTTCTGTTATACACACGTATTGACTTCTCCTCTCCTGTAGTCCTGGCTTTATAAAGACCCATCCTGTGGATAGGCAGAAATGGTATGCGAGCATATCCTTCTCCTTTGAAACTCCTTCCAGATCCTTTACATCCCTTTAATATTCGAATCCTCCAGCACTATTTTCAATTTTCCAAGATTTGCGATTTCATAATCTTTATTTTTTTAGGTGTGGCAAAATGCACTGTGAAATTTAATATTTCTTTACATATACAGTGTATCGATTATGAACAAAGGAGCGAAAATTTAAATGCGCTAAAGAGATAATAAACTTTGGTGAAATTGCTTCTTAAAATCTAACACCAAAGAGTATCAACATAACGAACCAATGATGAGGATAGCATGCACTAGTTCTATGAGGACTCGTTCGTTTCTTTTTCATTTGCTTTTACTCTTGCATGAATGCTTTTCTTCTCACCAAGCTATATTTCTTCGCTAAGACTGATCTTGCTATCTTGCATTGTATTTTTCCCCACTGTTCCGCTGCATTATCTGCATTTACAATAATTTACTTTATCTACATCTATAAAAGCTTTTCCTTTTTACAACTTGTTGCACAGCACTATTGCATCCTTATTAATGAGTTAAACAGATCATGGACTGGATAAATGAAAAATATTAGTCAATTTCTAATTTTTGACTAAAAACAACAAATTACTTGAGCCGATATACAAATATTTGGCACAGTGACAAGCATTTCAACAATATTTGTGTGACCACCATGACTAGCCCAATAGAGCGCAGTTGATCCTGATTTATCTAAACTGTTGACCGAAACCTTAATATGTAAAATTTTAACTATTTTGCATTAAAATATGTATTTTCTTTAATTTACATGATTTTCTATTTTATATTCTATTTTATTTTCGTTGTTTGCTGTTTTAAAAAGCATTATTTCTACTCCAAAAAAATGAAAAGCCACATTATAAACCAGAAAACAATATAAAAGATAGTAAATCATAGTAAAATAGTAAAAATAGTAAGCATGGTAAAGAAAAGAACGAAAAAATTACGGAATTCTTAATACATTCCTTTACAAATTCTATATTTCCTCGTTTTGCGGCATCATGAAGAGGAAAATCTACATATTCTGCATTCATCACTGCAAAAAAATTTTTACTTTCAAGCCATAAAGAAACAAATTAAACTTTATTAAATTTCCTTTCCAAGTTTTTTTCGTAATATAAAATATAAAAGACAAAAAAAAACAATTTCTCATCCTTTTCCCTTCTAAAAGTATAAAAGCTATTCAAATTATTTTAACTATTATTTTAATTCAACGGATGAGACTTAATGATGCTTTTGCTACATCTAATTTATTAACAAAATTATTTAAAAATATTATATGTATTAAAAATTTCAACCCATAAGTATATTTTTTTGCTTGAATTATTCTACTACATCTTATTTCATTGTATATTCTGTTTATTTACTTGCCCCAGCTTTCCTTAATTATTTCTAACACATTTAAAAGTGAATGGCTTCACTCATTTTCCAAAGAAATTTTAAAAACTGTTGAAAGTGAAAATATATAGTAATGACAACACAAAAATACATATTACCACAGTTCCTTGGTACAAGACCAATATAAGTACCACACCTTGCTTGCAACCATTCTGCTGATTCAGTATTATTTGTATCCTCTGATACATACAATAAATCGCCTTCATTAAATGACATTTCTCGATCCTGAAAAAAAAAATCCCTTAAGAAGATAATAAATTCTACATCTGTTCTTTAACCAGTTTTCTGACGATAGGTGATACGCTCTTCCCTTTTTGTCTTATTCTTTCGTTTTGCTTTTTTGTTCTTTCTCCTTTTCCCAGTTAACCATTTATCCATCTTATATTCACTCTTAAGAGCGAATAAGTGCTGCTATCGACCAGATGAGTAATAAATGCCAAATAATATGATGCAACTATTAATAAAGGATGCAATAAACTAATTTATCAATCGCGCATGTTTTTTCATTCAACTATGAATCTAACATATTAATGCATTCTCCTGATGAAGGAATATGAAATAGAACAGCATCCAGCTTATTATATTTGGTAAAATGAAATAGAACAGCATCCAGCTTATTATATTTGGTAAACTAAGTCAATAATCTTTACGTCTTTAATTTACTGCACCCTTTTATGCGGGTCCGATATGAGAAAATGTGCGAAGAGTTTAACTTTCCAATGAGTTTCCAATGACTTACATTTTTAGCACAATAATCAGAAACTGCACGATAAACCGTAACACGACCAGGTTTTGGAGCAGGTTTTGGTGCTAATTTTGTATTCATTGCATATCAGTTTTTCTAATAAACTGTGAACAATCGCTTCTGTCTTCTGACTGTCTTCAATGTCTGATTATTTTATAGTAATAATTATCTGAAAAGTGATATTTTTTTGTCATAAGTTCTATTAAACTGAAAATTTGATATTTTCTACTACTATGAGAGTTATTTACTCTTATCCAAAGGTCACATCTCCCCAGCAAAAGGGAATCAACAGTACGCAGATTTCGGTTTTAAATTAAATAAAATTCTTAACTAATAGTCGGCAATAAATACATCATATTATTTAAAATGATAAAAAATGATGAAAAGTTATCATAGTTATTAAATAATGAATAACAAAATAAAATAATGAAAGATAATGAAATAAGTTATCACAAATTTTCATAATGCATGGCACGAACCATATTAAGATATTTTGACAATCAAGAAGTTCAGAGGCAATTTTAATTATTTATAAAAAATTAACATACAAATATTACACAGATATTCATATAACTAATAATAATAATGATACCATACATTTAATAATTTTTAAATTAGTGCGAGAAAAGACTAAATTTATTGAACAATTTTTGTCTTCTTAGGCAATTCGGTCTGAATTGAAGCCAACTGATCATCCCAATCTTTTTCAATTCTTTCCCAATGGGCAAGCAATTCTCTTTTGCGTTGCTCGCGTTTGTTGAAGTAATAAGGAAATTGTTCTCTTTCAGCCAGTGTATATGAATCATTGTCCAAAATCTGATAAAGTAAAATATGTAAAGTAAATTTAAGATAAATCTCGAATATGGAATTCCACCAAATTTTTTTGAATTTATTAGATTTACAAACAAAAAGCCACACTGCTCTTGACTTGAATTTGATGTTATGAGAAGAAAACTTACACTATCTGGTGGTTCCTTTGTTCGATCGTACGCACTGCCAAGTGGATCCAGTGAGACTAAATAAATCGTTCTAATAAAGAACTAATGAGCACATGAAATAATGAATGATAGTTTAAAAAAAAATTTGATGGGACAACACAGTTTAAGAAAGAAAATAAATACGAGCTGATAAAAGCAGAAAACTAACATCTAAAAGGCTTGAAATGCCTCTTCTCCCATAGCTGAAAACAACCATCGGCTAAAAGAAATTGAGCTTTACGTGGATCTTTTTCATCTTTATTAGCATCAAAACGTGCTCGCATAATAACTTTGTGATAACGAACTTCCAAACTGAAATGAAATGAAATTGAATTCAGTTGAAATTTAATTAAACGTGCTTGAGACTAACAATTAATTTCATTTAAAAATTTTATTAAAAAAATTTTTATGCATCGATATTCTACTTCCTCTTATGTAGTGACATTCTGGTTTGGCCGCCATTACTGATTATTAAAGTGAAATTCCTTAGTTAAGAAGTCACTTAGAGATAAAGGCATAAATATTCGTGAAATCCTATTTAGATCGAAAATAGCTCAGCCAGATAAGTAACTCAAAATTCAGAACAAAACATAGCTAAAATATATTTCAGATAATTAACATGAAAAAAAGGAGATAACTAACATGTCACCACCAAACCAATTATCCACTTCACGAAGAGCTCTTTTGTAAAGTCGACAAACTTTTTGTTTGTGTGATAATGCCTTCGTGAACATCCATGCTGGTGACTCCATATAAATACCTGAGTATTAGAAAAAACATTAATTGAGATCCATACAGCAACAACATTAGAACCAAAATTGAAACAGTGCCAATCGCTACCACCGCTGAATTTTTCGTAACTAATAATTTTCTACAATACCATTTAATCTCACCTATCGCCATTCTCTCTCTTAATTAAGGATTCATGAAATCTATTTTAAATTTTGCATTATCTTTTAATCTTTATCTTAAAAGAATGCATATTTTCTTTCAGAATGCATATTCATCTGCCGAGACCGATAAATAAGTGACGAGATGACGAGATTTATGCTCCACTCGCTTTGGTTTCGTCTTTCAACAGTGAGTTTTTTAAATTTGAAAAGACACTATGAATTCTCGTATTTTCTCGTATTTCTAACCCCCAACTGATTTAATTTCAGAAAATTTTTCAAACAAATAATAAATAATAACAGAAATAAAAAAATTTGTGTAAATTCATGAATTCAAAAGGTTAAGAAAAAAGATGGTATATTTACGAAATAAAAATTGAAGGCTCAGTTTGACCTTTTCTGATAAACTAGATATTGTAAAACAATAACAATTAGAAGCACTTTTCTTATGCGTAACACTCTTGGAGAAGTATTGTTCGGTTATTCCCTTCCCTTCGCCTTTGTTCATCATTCTTTCATCGATTATTTTCTAATAGTATCGATACGATCATCAGTTATTCTATTAATAACTTGCTTCATCTCTGTGCAATATACAATGCCTTCTTTTTTTCCTTTCCTATCCTTCTCTAAGTGCATACACTGTTTCTGGCACTACTGATTCTGGCTGGTTCCAATGTTCCAACGAAACAGAAATCAGCCACTCGCGATTAGAGATACGAGTTCCAGCCATCCCAGTCTTCCCCCTAAAAAACTGAGGCTCTCTCCCTACCCACTAACCCTTCTTATTTCCACACCAACCTGGCCTCTTTCACCCCTTCTCATATCTCATTTTCTCACAAACTTTTCATTTTAGAACAATATTAATTATCCGGCATATTGCCAGTTGGAATTGTGCCAAAATATAGATCTGCTCTCTCTATTGAAAGATTTTCCTTCAATTAAATCATTTTTTCTGCAGAAGATGGTTTGGTACTGAGGGAAGGAAAACGTTTCGCAGAGGTTGGTTTTTTTCTCGAATAAATATAAAGAAAATTAGAATGAATAAAAATTATAGGGAAATGAATGAAATTGATGGATGCGACGATCGTCGTTACTGGTCACAACGTCTTGAAAACGTTTTAGAAGATCGCAATGCATTGGAAGCGTTTAAAAAATGGATGAAAAGTGAATCTGCTTTTTTTGAACATCCAATTAATTTGCATTTTGCTATTATCGCTTATAAGTTCGTCTTTTCCTTTTCCTTTTTATTTGACTGAAATTAATTAGCAAAAGGCGAAATGCGTTGCGGAACGCTTTTATTAATCGCAATATAGAATATGTGTTTGAAACGGAATTATCTTTTATAGTGCTTTAAGGCAAAGAGAAGTCTCACCAAAGAAATTGCAAGTATTCATAAATAGAAGGCGTGGGAAGTGAAATTTGTGAGATTCCCGCATTTTGCTCGCAACTAGTGTTAGCCGAATTCACACGATCATATGATTGTGATGTTATGATTAGTTTTCTTTTAAAATATTCAGTAAAGTTGCGCAGACTGCTTCGTTCCGTTTCTTCCAGTATTTTATGTGTCCTTGACTTTCTTCTGCAAAAGGGTTTTAAAAGGGTTTTCTCAAACAAGTGGATCTTGCTGCAATCAAATTTAGGCTAAGGTCGTGGTACTTGCAATAGTCCATTTTACAGTCATATAAAATTTTGTATTTATTTAAAATTTTCATCACATTTCGAATTAAAATGATGTAAAAAATTTTTTCCTTCAGTTAGTTCGCAGTATCTTGGAAAATGACATATTGTATTGTACTGAGGGATACTCTAGGATAAGACGAATAACGTTTTATATTGTGTGCTTAACAAGGAAACCACCCTATTTTTAAATGATTAAAATATAAAATTCAATATTTTAAAGTTCTATTTTGCTATTATTCTACTATGCAGATCGTAATCGAGATTGCGAACATTAACAATTATATCGAGATCTGTAGCATTATAAACACGTTAGAAAGTTATTGTGAATAAATAGATATGAAAGATCAGATTTTTTGGAATTCGTACACAATACTTTTCATTTCTTATCGCAAAAGGTCTCTTTTGAAATCAATAACCTATTTTTTAATGGTCATCCTGTAATCGAAATCTGGTCGACCATGTGATTGATTGACAAAAATTTTATAAGCCTCAGCATATAGTGATATTGTTCTATTATCATTAATGGAGTAAAGAGTATAATTACTTTGAGGCACTGCGGCATTAATTCGGAAAAGGAAACTGGTTTTTAGGTGATAGATTGATACTGATTGTTTATTTATCCATTTATATGTTTTTTAATAACGGATAATAACGGATTTGTTCATAACATTAGCTTATTATGTTGGACCGTATCAGATGCTTGAACGAAATCAAAATAGATAACTGTTATGACTATCACTATCACTTTAGACCATTCATAATGGTTATACAGCAGTTGTTGAGTTTTTTGGGCAGAAACTGTGTTGACAAGTGGATATCAACTTGCCTCAATATATAATATAAATCACAGTTATCACAAATAAGCCCCTCTATTTACTGTAGCTATGCTTTTTATTACTGGTTCTTTATAAACAAAAAAGAGCCTGGAAAAATTTATGAATAGGATTTAATATTTTATTAATATATTATAGAATTTAACACATTTATTAATATAATATTCGCTTTTTAAGAACTATGATGAGAGCCACGAAAATTTTTCGGGTATACTTAGTAAAATAAATGGAAAATCTGTAGATGATATATCTGTGAAAAAGTCTTTTAACGTCTTTTTAAGAGATTCTAAGAATGATTATAATATTTTTTTGGCGAGCAGTTATATTGTCTCATGAGATTTATTAAGTATCAGTAGTATCGTAATTAAGATGGCTAATATATTAATTTTCAATATATTTGAATCGATATATTAATTAATTTTATTATCATCATCTTCTATATATATATATATATATATATCCGTTCGATCTTATTATATGGTTCTGAGACATGGCCAGTGAGAGTGGAGGATATTAAGAAGCCTTTGACCACTCTTGTCTATATTGCGGGTTCGCCGAGTGGATAAAATCTCACTACATCGCATCCACCTTCGTTCAAATACCACTTGCATAAATAATGTTATTACTGAACGCCGCCTTCGCTGGTTAGGGCACATTCTCCGTCGTCCACCACACGAGTTGACGCATATTTCGTTATTTGCTAAACCGTGTAACGGTTGGCGTCAAAAGCGAGGTGGGCCAATCAAGACCTGGACTGATACGGTGAGAAAAGATTTTGAACATATAGGTGGACCAGCAATATATGGACTTAGAATGGAAAAAGGAATGGCTTCCATTACTGTCGACAATGGCATCAGACCGCGCCGCTTGGAAGCGTCTTACCCTTAAAGCTGTTGGAGCCATCCTAACCATGGTGAGAGCTGTTAGAAGAAGAAGAAGATATATATGTATTATATGTATTTTGACGTATATTACGATTCTACAAATAGAAATAGAAATACAGAATGGTTTTGTCATGTCATCAGTAAGTAGAATAGAAAGAGTGGATATATGATTTAATGTTGATCTAAACCTATATGTGAAAACTTAAAATTCTTCATTATGAATATGGATGAATTAAGTATTATTATTTTTTATATAACTTTTCTTCCAGTTTATCTCCGGTAGTATTATATTTATATCTTCTTTCTTCTAATAGCTCTCACCATTACTGGTTAGGCTGGCTACAAGAGCTATAAGGGTAAGACGTTTTCAAGCGGCGTGGTCTGATGCCATCGCTGGTAATTATAGATAGAAGACATTCTTTTTCCTTCGTCTAAATTTATTTTTTTATTGGCCTATCTCACTTTTGATGCCATCCATCACAAGGTTTAGCAAGTAACGAAATATGCGTCAACTCCTGTGGTGGACGACGTGCCAGCGAAGGCGACGCTCTGTGATAACATTATTAATGCAAGTGGTATTTGAACGAAGGTGGGTCGTCTAATTTGGCGGAGCCGTAAAATGTGCCTTAGACAAGAGTGGTCAAAGTCAGATAATAAAAGGCAGACTTCTTAATATCCTCCACAGTTGGACAATTGCTTCAAATATCCAAATAGTGCACTTCCTACTAGTTTGCCCTAGCGTGGAACTGGCTGACTTTCGGAGACATCCCTTTAGTTTGGACCAGCATTCGTTTGCCGTTCCAGAAAAGTCACTGATATTTATACCATTGAGATGCTTCTTTAATAAATCGGTTTGAAATGCGCTTATTGTCCCGGAATTTTTTAGTTTGAGATAGTTGAAAAATGTTGGGAGATGCTGTTTCTTGCGAGTTGTCAATTTTATGCTAATTTTGGCTCAAACTAAAACACAGTCAGATCCATGAAGACTGCCCATTTTATCGTCGTGATAGGAATGACTATCTAGTATGGAATTCTTCCAGCAACAATTGACTAAGGTATAATAAATCTGGTTGAAGTGTTGGTTATGCGGAGAGTTCCCACTTGACTAGATGTTTTTTCCGATGCCGAAAGCATTTAGTAACAAAGAGTTCATTTAGGAAATGCAAATTTATTTAAAAGATGCTCTTTGGCATAACTTTTAACTCTTTGGAAGGCGTTCACCGGTTCCCCATTGGTGCACCGGTCTCCGGTGCCAGTTGTCGAGGTCATCGCAGTGGCATTATGACCTACGTATGCATTCCAGTCTTCTCCGATTATAATCCTACTACATTTCGGTAAAGGCTTTGTTAGCAATTGAAGTTCCGCACTGAACTTATCTTTATCACACTCATCTATCGACAAAGTCGGTGCATAAAAGACGTTAATGATCGAGATATTGCAGAACTTACCTTTAAAACGGAAATAGGCCATATGGTTGCTTACCGGTTTCCACTCAATCAAAGAGGAATAGGCATTGTTAGACATGACAATCGCTATGCCATTTCGCCCTGAATTATCGGAAACACCACAGTGATTTAATCAGTTCCAAGCCAGGACTAGTAATTACTCCAGACCCAAAGGAAGATGGACCTCCGGCAAGCAAGCGATACCCACGTGATATTTAAAAAGGGTGTGGACAGTGATCGCTTGGCTTCCAACGTCCATAAGCGTTCTGACGTTCCAGGTTTATATGGCTAATGTCTCGCAGATAGCTGTTGCCCCTTATAAATTTTGAGCATTTACCTTGGCTTGCAAGCATATTTTATTTATCAGTCTTGGTCTTTACGCCCGGATCGTATATTTATCGCACTTACAACCAGGCTGGAATATCATGCACGTCGGAAGACGCCGTTTTAAGATTATCTAACCCTTTCACCATAGAGTTACTTGGGCAAAGACGGACATAATTATTTTATAATATTATTACAAATTAATGTAGCAAAAAATTTGGCTCGTAGTTTATAGAAATTCTAGGAATATTTCGAAAAAAAAACGTAAAGAAATAACAATGGAATAGAAATACAACCACCCAAGATTGGATAATTTCAAAATTTTTGAAATTTTATTAATTTAATTTTAAATTTTTTATTCATGTCACTTTAAATCGAATGTTATATAATAAATTTGTTTTATCTCATGCATTTTTTTTTGGATTTGAAATAAATGATCCATTTATTTTATAGATATAGTTAACGAAATGAGTGAGTAATGAATAATTTACATACATTATGTACATTCTTGCTTATCATATAATCCATACAAGTTTTGAATATAGATAATTCTTGTTCATCATTTACTAGATAGGCCCATAACCTCTTACCGGCAGCATATAAATATATTTTTGCTTATCGTATGATGAATGAACAAGCTTTGCAGTTTAGATAAATTAAGTGATATTTTATATTTCATTATTTCCAGTTGTGCTAACTCTTTTTTATTCAATTCCTTTTAAGAAAATTTATTTTTAGAAATACTTTTAAAAAAGTTCAGATTTTTTTATCTTTCAGGACCATGTGTGCCAAAAAAAATAGTAGAGCAGCTGAGCTCGCTCGAAATTTACATCAGCGATATGTTAGCTTAAATACAGGCGTATGTTCATTTCTGCCAGAGGTTAATGGATTCTTTATTTATTTATTTATTTTCTTTAATTCAGTTATTTGGCTTTTTAACGTTTTCTTTGTTTTCAACGTTATTTAGGAAAATAAATTTTTTCTTATGAATTTTCTTCATGTGCCAAAGTGAAAAGATTTTAAAAATGAGTTTATTTCATACAAATTCCCTTCATTGGTAAAATTTTTTTCCAGTTGGTTTTTTTCAAACATTTAGTCGATTTAAATTTTGAATCAATTTCCCTATTGCTTATCTTTTCTTATATATATATATATATTTTTTTCAAGAATCTGAGACGGGAAGTAAGTGCGCATGTTCATTCGTTGTTAGCAGCTGAACCAGATCCAACAATATTTGATTGCTTATGCACACCTGTTGAACAATTTTTGCGGCAGCAGCATGCCTTATTTGTTTGTTCCGAAGAATTTCTAGATGCTTTTAATAAAGTTGATGACTCTTTTTCGAAACTATCTAAATCAACCAATATTACTCAAGCAACGGCTAGAAAATCTAAAAAAGTACTTCATCAGCCAATGTTGACTGCAGAAATGTTGTTAAAAACACAATACGAGAGAGAAAATGCTTTCGGCGAAAGGTTTCTTTTTTTGGGTATTTTAGTTTATTTATGTTTAAAACTGTGGTCAATGAGAAAACATGCATTTTTAATTATTATGGAATCGTCATATTTGTTGAACGAAAGTATTTTTGAATAGCTTTAAATGTGATACGACTCTGTTTGTAACTCTGATTGCTTTAGTGAAGTGGAAAAGATGTATCGACCAGCTGTTAAGGTGCCATATGTATGTAATGCAACTACAAGTAAGAACGATTCAGCTGTTTCTTCTACGTTTTCAAGTGATGCAAACGGTCAAACGGCTGTGGTCAAGTTAAGTACAATTCGCGAAGAACAACTTAGAGGAAATCCTGTAACTCACACCTTAGCGGTAATATTTTGTTTTTTATTTTTAATTAACTAATTGTTTTGTTATCTTTATGAATATATTGTTTTTATGCTCGCTATTTTGGCAAAATTTTCCATAAATTAAAGAGAGTAGAAAAAATGGATTCTGGACTAGTGATGACCCATTGTACTGAAGAAGGGCGAAAAGCTTTTGCGGCACTGCTTATTGAAAAGTTGAATTTGCTGAGCGCAAAAAGAAGGAGGAATGATGTAATGAATCAACAACTTCGCGATATACAGGTATAGTCTCTATTTTAAAGATAATTTTAATTCTAATTCTAATATGCATTAACATAGCAAATTTTTTAGAGTAGAAAATGTTCTGCCCGTGAAATTGTAAACGATATGGAACCCACAGCTGCTGAAGAAGATGATGAACTTGAACGTTATGTTCGACAAAGGATGGCGGATGATTCTTGCAAACCTTCTCCTTCTTACCATTCTCCTGATTATCCTAACGCACATTCTTTGCGTTATCGGCGCCGATCTCCAAGTGATGATATTCTATTTACTTTATTCATATTCATGAATTTTAAAAATCTGAATCAAATATTCCCACTTTAATAATAAATTTTTTCACATATAATCTGTTTGATCATTAATTTCAAGAGTTTTTGAAATTTTGTTTTATAGAATCAAGCCCACCTGAACGTTTTCGAAATTACACAGCATCACTGGCAGTTGAATTTAATTCGCCATATATGATTAATCCTTATAGTTCGAATGGTTTTGCCCCACCTCCTTGTAGTAAATATAATCGAGATGTTCTCCCAGCAAAGCCTGCCAGGTGTGTATTTTCTGAACAGTTTTTATATTGAGTTTAATTGCTGTGGATTTCTATTTTATTTCTTTCGCCATTCGTTTAATTATATATATATGTATACATGCTTCTTTCAAATGTTTGCGGTTTCAGTTATGAAGTAAAATCATTGACGATGTATGATACGTCAGGAATAGAATCAATGGCTCCATCACTAGTCCATGAACGCGATGAGTTGCAACGAGCTGCAATTTTTCAGAAAGCTAGACTTCTTTCCGCTAACAGCCATACAAATCGAAAAGTTCACAAACATTCAGATTTTTCATCATTGCCGTTAGGATTTTTGATTTTTTTGTGATCATTATTCCTTTCTACCCTTTTTTTTATTTTCAAATGTGCGTGTGATAGAACTAAAGCCTAAAGTAGAACAACTTATTCTAGAAGAATGAAGGGCAACGATTCGAAACCACTTATAACGATAAGTTATAAGCAAAAAAATCGCGTGCCTATCGTGGCCCACGTGTCACTACAAACAATGACTTTTCGTGATTTTCGGAAGTATTTGGGAATATCGTCCAAATCAAATCAACAGTAAGTTTTAATTTCTATTATTGAAAATTTATTATTAAAAAGATTTAGAGTTCCAATTCCAATACTACCTAGATTTTTCTTCAAAACTGCTTGTGAAGATGGTAATTCTCCTTATCAATTGCTTTTGGTCAATGATGATTCTACTATTCTACCAGTTTATGAAGGTCGTATTACAGCTGAATGTAAATCGATTTCTGACTCAGAATAGTTGAATTTTCATTATTATATATGAGACAGTTTTGAATTTATTTTTAAACATTTTTCTATTCATTTTTCGGGTAACCATTATTTTTTGCAAACTGACATATTTTACTCATTTGTTAAGACAAAAATTGGTCATCTCAAAATTTCCGAAAAAATTGTATAGAACAGTTTTTGAAATTGTTGCACTAATAATTTGCTTTTATATATATTATTATTGTTATTATTATTATATTTTCTCTTGAATCTTCCTTCTGAGTTTTCTATACTAATGAATTCAGCTATCCATTTATCTAGATCTGTATTCGGTGATAATTTTTTTACGTCATGTATCGCATCTTATCTCTGGGAAAAAATTGATATCGATCCATATTTTTCATTGTTGTTGATATCATAAATCATTTTTCCTCTCTTTATTTATTTTTAAATTCTCACTCACTTTGGTGACCTTACTAAACCTTTATGAATTGGAGGTTGTTTTTTAATTATTTTTTTCAGTTAATTTTTAAAATTATATTTATCCATCTAGAAGCTATTATTCCGAATAACAAGATTAATTTCCTAAAAAAATATGATTTCTATTATGTTTTCAAACTTTTCATCCATGGAAATCTATTGAAGGAGTTGTCTGAGTAAAGAATTATTAATTTGCGACAGATCTTTTGGTTTAATTTGAATATATCTTCGGTAATATTATTTTGCCCAGCCGGTCTGTAAGGTGATATGTACATTTTTATATTATCGTATTAATGATGATTTTCACTCGATATTCATTTTTATTATATTTATATTAATTATATTTATCAATTCAAGTTATTTTTGCGAGACCGAAAAGTGCTACTTAAATAGCTTTTCTTCTTTTGCCAATTAAGGAGTTTTAAATTTTTTTTAGTTCATTTAGCAGATTTTTTTGTAAATTATATTTTATTTATATTGTATTTAAAAATTGCAGTTGCCATTTTTTTCTGCGTATAATTTTTATAATCACTTTTTTTTCATTAACATTTTGATAAATTTATTTATTTATTTTCGCATTTTGATTGCTTCTTAGAAAAAGGACAATAAATTTTAAGAAATTTAAATTTAAATTTTAATTTTGAAGAAATTCTAGAAGAAAAAATTAACTGTTTAGCACTCTTCATTTCTGGTTAAACTGTCGCCGTTGACTGTTAGAGTTTTTTGCCAGAAGTCATTTAGGAGTATAGATGGATTGTCAGCATTACCAGGTTTTTTGTACTGGATTGCAATTGAACCAATTGTTTTTGTTCAATTTTTGGTTCTTTTTTTTAGTATATCAACGATTATAACGCCGAAAATAATTTTTTTCAAAAATTCTCCGAAAATTTTATTAGCGGTCGATAGTGTTTCATCAAACTCTTATGGATATAAACATAATAAGTCTCAGTAGCTGAAGGTTTCGATTTAGATTTTGCTATTGCAATTAAATTTCTGCGAGTAAATCGTTTTAGCGAATGATGCTAACGAATGATTTTTGATTTCGATTTGAAATCGTGAATTCCACTTTTCAGGCGATTATCATAAATTTTAATGATGAAATTTTAAAAAAAAATTTAGCAAATGAAAAGGAATTTAAAAAATGGAAAAGAAAACTTTGAGCCTTTAAGGGATTCTTATGCATTTTAATTGATATATTTGATGGTTTAATAGAAAAGTTTCGGAAGATTTATTAATTGGCGGCTTTTAATGATAAAGTCTTAAGTAATTCATCCCAATCAGACCAATAATTTGTTTTCATGCGACAAATAAATTCAACTAAATTGGGTGTTTTTTCATCCATGAATTTCTTCAGTTCTGGCGTCGCACCTAAAGGCGTATAATAGATTTGTGTGAGGTGACCAAAGGCTGTCGCATCAAGCTGAAATTATTTTCACCATAGTGTAAGGCGAAATTTTTAAAGAATTCTGAAAATTCAAAAAATAATAATTTTGATAAGTAAGAATTTGAAAAAAAATAGTATTATAGAAGTACTTAATGAATTTCATTACTAAATTTCAAGTCTTATTTGGATTTTTTGACTTAAAATTGGATTAAAATGGCGTATTTTGACTACATAGCACGAATGGTCAAGTTGCTTCAGGTCGAGCAATATAGGTTCGATTCTGGTTCTCTAGGTGAGGAACTGAAAATCAAGTCCGGGCGGCAATGAGGATCGGTGAGTGGAGCCAACAAAACTACAAATGGCTTAAAGATATAACACTTGGTTTTCGTCAGAAAATTTTGAGAACGCTTAATATGGTGTAAATTTTAATATGATAAAAAATACTGTAGTTGGTTTTGCGCCGAAGAAAAAATGCTTATCTCTGAGAAAGGTTGAGAGTGCTATCAGATCTTTTTGCGCAATCTTTTCCACTTCGGCGGGTGTATATCGACCAATACCTTGCTCATAGCATTTTCGCCAAATCTAATAATTTTTTCACAATTTTAAATATTAAATTAATAAAGAATACTTTTACAATAGTGTTCTGATCCACAAATAAGAAAGCAAACCTGTTAATAAAATCTGAGTGGTGCTGACGCCCCACCTGCATTTCCATTGCCACAGTGGCTTCCTGTGACAAAGTTTCACCGGAGCTATCCTAAGCCAGAAATGATGATTGTTACCCGCTTTCTTTACTCTTACTTATAAGTAGTAAAGTTCAGCAGGAACCTTTGCAATATCGTGAATTGATTTTAACTAGTTTTAGAATTTTTTATAAAGTCAAATTCTACATATATAATTTAATAACTTTAGGGTATACCAAAGATTTACTATAGAGTCGATGCATACAAAAGAACCCCAAACCGAAAAAATTAAAAATAAAAAATCTTATTAAGATTCAGGTTTTAGTCCAATCAAAATTAATATTATATGTCCATCTTATGTGAGGTGTTGCTGCAGAAACGGTCCATCAACACTTCCATTCCCCTCTTGCGAAAGATAGCCAAACGAGAAATAAGAGAAAGATTCTATGATATTTAAGAATTGAAGAAAACTTTTTTCTTGAATTGGTCCATAATTATATCTCTGAAGACGACTTTTTTAATTCCAGTGAAATGTCGAATGAATCCATCGACAGTCGCAAAAAATTTAATATTTTTGGCACGATTATATACAACTACCCTGCAATGGGAACTGAATGGAAAATTTTGCGTTCTTCATGAATCTTCATAATTGGAATTCGGAGAAATTAATGGTCTCTTTTTTCTGCTTGAATTTTTTCTCGATTTTGATCGATTTGACAAAAATTTCGACAAAGTTTCTCTTTCCGGGTATTTGTTAACTTACGTAATGGAATTCACATGGACTTTGCTTACCCCATCATTTGATGTTAAACAATTCGATAGAACTGAATAATGTAAATTTAAAAAAAGTTTCTAAAAAAGGTCATAGGTCATAGGACACATTTTCTATGAAAATTATTCCAAAAACGTTTATATAAAAGAATAAAAAATTGAGTCAAATTATAATAGGTAATACGCAGGAATTACAAAATTATATCCAAATAAGCACCATCTCAAAGATTCTTCGAGTAGCACGGTGAATGCTCGAGCTTGTGCAACTTCTTCTGCTATTAAATTAGCATCAATATCGACCTAAAATGGATTAATTTGTTGATAATTTTGTCCTTGGAATGTAGATCGCAAAGTGTCAAGTAATAACTTCGAATTTATGCAAATTTTTTCAATCCGTTTTACCTGGCTGTTAATACGTTAGAAATCACTTCGCGATAGAAATACGGTGGTCGACAGCATCACCAGGATTTTTTGACATGAACTCTTTGCAATTTTACAATTATACAGTTTTGCAAGGAATGAAATTTTAAATATTTCTTTATATATGATCATTCTTGTGAACAAAAATTAAAGAAACTGAACCTTGAATAATTCGGAAAGATGTTCGATGCAAAAGTTGCTGTCTGGAATTTGTCTTCCATTGAGTTCAATGAATGGAATTTGCTTTTTTATTGACATTTTTGTAAAATCATTGTTAATGTTCTGAAGAATTTTTAAAATGATTCTACAAGTAATTCGAAATTGCTTTTTGTATAAATAATATCATCGATCAGTAATGCAAATTTTTTTAAAAAATAAAAGTATCAAATTCATCAAATAATATTTTTCTTCCGAAAAAAAGTCGAAATTATTTATTTTTATTTCGTCGAAAGTTTTTTTCGTATATTTTTGCTTAATTCACCATGAAAACAAATCAAATATTGCAGATTTATAGAAATGCAAAAAAATTCTTTGCCATTCAAATTCATTCAGTAAAAAAAGACTACAACCGCATTTCAACAAGGAAAACTCGAAACATTGGAAGAAACGAAGATCGACTCAAAAAGCCTTACCTCAGTGTTAATATAAAGTAAAAGTAAGTCACTATTTTCTGGTTTTACTGGCTGCACACTCAGAAATTTTTGCAGGAAAGTACGGACAGAGGGGTGATTTGCAATAGATCTTTTCAAAAGAAAATTTCATTTTTTCAAGAAAAAACTAAAAAAAATAAACTTTTAAAGGTGGTCTTTCAGAATTATCTGCAGGAAAAAAAGACAAAAGAAAAATCATATCGCTTCAAAAAATTCTTTTTTCCTCAATCAAGAATGAGAGAAATAAGAATGATTGATTGAAAAATCATAACAAAATCATTGTAATAAAAGAAGTACAATGAAAGGATCGGAACTGGTTGCAGGAGCAACGTTTCAGTGGCGAAATCGATACAATCTCTTGACGGTTTTGATGCGAAAATAAGCAGTTATGAAAGAAAAATCAGAAAAATTAGCTGAATGAAGATGAAGATAATCCAAAAAAACTAAGAAAATCTACCATGATAAAGAAATGTAATCAAATTCTCTAATAACATTCACCATTTCTGGTTTGATTGGTTTATTACAGTGAAACCTTCCATTCGGGGATATATGCAAACAAATGGGTCCACACCACTACTTACTATAAATCAATTATGACAAATTAAAATTAAAACTTGGAATTAAATGAGTTTTCGACCAAAATGCGTGGAAATTTTCATTTATTTATGATGAGAAGGAAAAAAAGCACTCTTAACAAATGAATAAGTTTTCCTTATCAGTATTTACGATTATTGCTAAAAGTAATTAGTAAATAATAAGTGTATGAAAGGAACTTACAGAATATGGTAACCCAGTTATACGAAGCCATGTTTCAAGCTTGAGTGCGAACGGTGAAACACTCGGTATGCAACCAGCACGAGGAAATTGTACCAGATAAATTCGATCATTTTGCCAATCTCGCTTAAGTAATGGTGGTGCGGGCATTTTTATGAATAAATATTATAAGAAATGGTTTGATCAACCAGACACAATCGTTCGCACAAGAATTATTCTTTTGTCCTTCCCATCGCATTCTTCATTCGTCCATCTTCATTCGTAACGTTATTCGAAACCAATTAGTATTTATAATTAGATAAAAATCGAGATAACAAAATATTATTCTCCTAATAAATCTGTCGCAATGATAATCAAATGAGATAATTGAATACTATATTGTTTTAATTAAGATCAAACCATGGCAGACTCAATTCTTGTTCCTTGACCAGATTAAGTGTTATTGCAAGTGGAATTTGATGCTGCCGTGAATCGGATGCATTTCTGTCTCCCAAGTGACTTTAAATAGCGAATACTGAAAAAAAAGGTAGAGGTAATCAGATAGCGTAGTTATCACAAATTTTTATAGATTGGTTATACCACTGGACAATTTATTTCAACAAATGCAATTTTATAATATTCCGCAGTTTAATTTCATTGATGAGATTTTCTTATCAGTGGAATGTATAATTCGATCGATTATTGATCAGCGAACCAATTATAAATTTACTTATATTTTTGCTTTACTTCTGTTTTATATTTATTTTGCTTTACCTTATCGAATCGAAATAAATCATACGCGTCCCGATCTATAAAACAAATAATTATGTTATTATAATTATAACATACAGTCGTCGATTTGCTCGTATGGATGAACAGTCACAGCACAAATTATGAAAAACTGATCGATTTCATCCGCAAAAGCTCAGAGTTCACCGTAAAATTGCGATGGAAAATATTCCGCAGAAATATTTAAAATACTTGTTTTTAAAAAAAAATCACGCACCATTTGCTATAAATTTGTGATACAAACTTCTCATGATTTATAATTGTAATAAACTGAGAGGATAGCCGAATGTTTATTTTTAGATGTTTATTGTCATAAAAGTATCCTCATTTGAGCGGTGTTCCTAGAAATCACAAAAATTAATTTTAAAAAAACCTGGATGCTTCTCTGCACCCATTTTCGAGTGGCTTCCTAGCAAATTTATTTCATCCTACGCTAATGGTGTAAGCTCGGAAATGGTGAATGCTAACCATTTGCCTTTGTTTAATTTTTTCAACTTTTATACATTTTTTTCAGAAAGAATTTTTTTGGTATTTATTTTGTTATTTATTGTAAGAGACATTTTAGATTTAGCAGTGTTGTTACTATAAATTAGTAATTTCAATAATAATAAAAATAAAAATGCAGAACAAATTTATCCCAATGATTCATCCAGCAAACTTGATGTCAATCGCATACTGTGGACCTTTTTGATCGTCTCTAGGCCTTCGTTCTTTCTTTATTTGTGTGCATTAATTTGCTTTTTTTATATATTTGGTATTATGGAATGCTTATGGTCTTACCTCACATCACATTTAAACCTCACATTTAACACGGCCGGATTTACTTGGATAGAAGGCAAGAAGTAAAGCAAATCGAGTTGGCAAGCCTTAAAATATTCAATAATGCGACACAAATGCGCAAAATTTGCAGTAAATACCATCCAGTAAATTTTCACTTAAACATAGACTCAGAAATCGCCTTTTTATCCGGAATTAAAAAAGCATCCTGGCAAATTTTTTACACATGAAGGACTGTAATCCACAATTATCCCTTTGGAATAAAATCAACTTTTGGGATTTTTTCAATAGTTTATGATGTTGCCGCATGTAAAAATGAAGATGGTTTTCAATTTTCAAAAAGAACTGGAAGGACTTAGATTTCGCATTAAACTTGAGAAACCGAAATCAGATGATCATTGATCCTGACGATAGATCTAGCTAAAATCACAGTCATCACGCAGATGTTGGTTTTAGCTGATAATTCCTCAGATACCTACGAATATGTATCAAATTCACCCTCACTTAGATTATTAATTTTACCAGGATATTTCCATAAATAATGTCAAAATATCAAGCAAAATTATTCTAGTTTCGTATCAGGTCGAACCATAATAATTGGCATCAATAATTCAACGGTGCAGTAACTTTATCGTTACTGATTATTAAAGAAGAGCCATATTTCCGCCTACTCTTTAAATCTGCAGAACTATTGCCGAATAGTGAAAAAAGTCCTTCCTCACCTCATCTTCACCGGTATACCGTTTACCGCATATTCGTTGCAAATGATTCAAAACTCACTTTTAACGATTTTAAGTTCAGAAAAAAGGCAATTTCATACATAAGAGTTACCTTCAAAGATGACTGCTTATGTTAATCAAATATGATTTTCACGTCTAATAGAATTCAATGGCAGCTCTTGAAGAATAATGCACCATATTCAGTGCATTAGCAAAAGCAGGTGCGCCGGTCAAAAAATCGTTATTTGAAGACTGTAGCAATCGATGACGACACTTAACATTCAACTATTAATTCACTTACACGTTACCCACTAAACATAATATCAAATATGCAGCTAAAGGTGACAAAATACAATCGAACAATTCGATTCTTTCGGTTTTATTAGAATTATTCGAACTGACCGAGCAAACTTTGTCGAAATTTTTGCGAGTTTTCGGATACCATCGAGACACAGCGACAATAGAATGCAATTTAATTCTTATGAATTTCGAAGAATTTAGATAAAATCGCACCGGTGCTCCAACTTACTATCCAGCCTAGTCAAAAGTCAAACAAAAAATTTCATACCAGATGTACCAATGAATAGAGAATGACGACAAAAAACGTTGAATATTTCCTGATACACTAGAGCAAAACATTTGCACTTCTCTCAAGCCAAATCACGCCAGCAGAAGCACTGACAGGGCGAAGAATCCGAATTTCTTTGCTACCTATAAAACAAGTAGTATAATAATCGTCCTTTTCGATCAGTTCGATTCATCTATGCAAAATAATCAGAAAAAGAAGCAGGGAACAATGTAGAATTAGTGGGAAATCGTTTAGAAAATTACAAGCGAAGCTGAACCAAAACCATGCCAATCAGGTTCGTTGCAAAGAGAAATGATGATATTCTATCTGCTGGACACATTAAAATTTGGAAGTAATGGAAAATTACGCAGAGAAAGTTCTATTGGTTTTAGTGCTCTGCTATCGGCACGAATTCGAAGGTTGTACAAAATTAATAGGCCGAACTGACGGAATCATCACTATAAGATTGTATTATATGTATTTCTTCTTCTGCCATTTCTTATAGGATAAAATAAATGCATCTTTCCATTTCTTTTCCTTCCCGTTCGTTCCGATATATATTTATGAATACTATTTGATTTTTGCCTATTTAAGTTTCTATATTTGGCATTATCAAATAGTGGGGATCCGGAAAACCTATTTAAACTTCTATATTTGGCATTGTCAAATAGTGGTGGTCCGGAAAACTCATCAGACACAAATGTTCTGTGTTTTGTAATTTTTTGGTTACGAATTTGGTTATGTACCCTTTTAAAGACGTGATAATTGAAGTCTTGTCGTGTTTGCGGCATTATCAGATAACATCTGTCACTACTTGTGATTAGCTTATCTTTACCTGATTACTAGAGTAAGATTATTTCGCCAGAGTTCATTTAGTGATATAGGTAAATGGTTATTCCCATTATTTCTGGTTAATTCTATTGGCTATTAGGACTTTTCACCAAAGTATGTGGGTAGGGAATAGATAGAACACAAGGTAAAACACAAGTTAGCTTTTATCCATTTAAAAATGAAAATGGATGACCACAATACTTATCTTTAATCTCTCCGCTTGGCTATCCTGCTTTCTTGATTCCGATAACCATTCATGCTAATGGTCACTAGAGCCAAATAGATTATGTAAAAGAGAGACAGCTTCGAATAAATTAGCCTTTTTTCTAATAAAATCGTCCACATGAATTGAATTTTGATAAAATTGCAAATATTTCTGCGATTGACTCTGCATTAAGCAGAGATAATTTGCTCTTGAGATTTCAGTTTCTAAAAATCTAATTGAAAAAATCTGCCAAATGATTTCTTAAAATTTTTTAGCTACGAATATTAAATAACAAAATATATAAATCTTTTTCCAAACCCTCAGCTTTTCTGGATTGGTTCGTTTCACCAACTTATGGGATGGAACATCTTTCGCAAAAAGTTTGCTTGAAGTAAACCACCTGAATTTCACCACTGAAATAGTTGCAGCTCTTATCAAAAATTCTAAAAATTTATTTTATTCCGTATTTTCGTCAGTGATGGATAACTACTGCCATATCGAATATAGATATAAACAACCGCAATAATTCTTCAAATAAGAACCCAAAACACAATAATCGCTTCCTTAAAAATGCTTATAATTGCAATAAGCGGATTTTTTCACATTTTCATAATGTTTGTTTGAGAAAATGTATGTAAATCTATTATAACGATAGCACCGTTCACAGCTATATTTTCTGCTTTCATTTTACGTTTTCCACTTTTTATCTCCTCAATTCCACTAATTTCTCCAGAAATATTGCTTTTTTCTTGAAATAATTTAATATAAAACGCGATGAAATATAAGGTTTTTGGAATCTATTGGAATAAATTTAATACACTTTTTATCAAATAGCTTTTTAAATTTCTTTTACAGCAAACGTCATACCTTGTCTGGTGTGCTCCACTGATTCTTAATAAGCCATATTACCAGAGAATCAAAATAGAAATATGCACTACGATCGGGGCGCCACTTGGAATTCTTAAATAAATAAATAAGTGGAATGAATTGTAAAAATAATAGACTGGAAAATTTCAATTTGTTAGTCAATAGAATAATGACTACGAAATTTTCTGAAACAATTTTAGAGCATTCGCTGTAAGTATACGCACATCGAAACTCATTACATTCCCATTTTCATGGAGAAATTGTGAAATCTGCAAACTCATCATTTCAATGCATATTTTTTGAAATTTTTGACAGCTTGGATGTATCCTTCTCATTAAAAAAATTGATTTAATAAGAGTTATTAAAGGCTATGAGGTTCAATTCTTTATTTGATTTATTTGGAGATGATGAGACATGATGAGACTTGATTAAAGACAATTACTAATAAAATGCTAAATCTTTTAATTTCAATAGAACTAAATAAATAATTCAGTTATATTTTTAGCTTTTTGAAAATCTTCAAAAATATCAATTTAGTTTTGATTCAATAGTTTTTGATAAGATGACATAATTTCACCAAAGCATCATTTGGCGATAGAAGTGCAGATAGAAGCGCCACTCGAATTTTATAAAGTTAGGTTTGCTCTTGCTGAGTGCAGCGGTCGAATCACGTTGGCTGACATGACAATTTAAACTCTCGATTATTCTTTCCTCACTCAGTGGCTTTAAAATTTTGATAAAGATTGCCTAAAAAGATTTGAATTGGAATTTAAATTCAAGTTCTCTTTTCTTTTAATTTCTTTAGTGGATGAATTATTTAAACTTTTGGAATTCCTTGTTTTAGCGAAATAGCTATGAACATCGACGATAATGGATCACACAAAAAAGAATTCCCCTCGAAAAATTCTTCTCAATCTTTAACTTCAACTTTATAAAAGTGGAAACTTTGTCGTATAGTTCACATGATTTGATAATGATAAAATTTTCAAGAATTATTGTGGTTAATTGTGGAATTACAACAATGAATACGGATAGTTTACGAAAATATGGCAAAGAAATGATTAATATAGTTGCGGATTACTGGGAAAATTTACGAAAATTTCGACCAGTGTCTTTAATATCACCAGGTTTTATAAACGAAATGGTATTATTTTGTTCAAATTTTTAGTATTTATTTATTTCAAGAGACTTAAGTAGAATGAGCGTCACCAATTAACAACAAAAAATGAGGTGCTAAATGAAAAGAAATTAGTGATATAAACTGATATAAAATAAAGAAAAGGTTACCAAGCTAACAGTGTAAAAGGAAATTATGAATAAACAGACCGAAATGAACCTATTACTATTACTGACACATAATGTGGAACTTTATAATATCCCGGATTATACTATTTTATTATTTTTCTTTAAAAATAATTTAATAAGATTAAAATAAAAAATGGAAATTTCATTATTTTCTTTAGAGATTAAACCTTTGACTTTGGCAGATTTGCGGGGATAACCTGATAAAAGTTAAAGGTTTGATGGTTTAATGACTATTAATTAGTTCTAATTTTTTGTTTTATAGCATTCTCAATATTTAAATGAAATTAATGAACAAAGCAGCACATTAAAATAAAAAATTGTATCATTCATTCATCATTATGTTGATACATTTTGCTTGGCATCAACCACTGAATACGATATTTTAAGAATTGAAATGTGAACAATCCAAAATTTTTAAGGTACCAGCAGATCCGCCAAATTCACCAGAACCATGGGAGGAGATATTCAGCGACGTTGAATCGATAGTCTTGCAAAAAAATACTCATTGGCAACATCCGAATTTCTATGCATATTATCCTACAGGATGTTCATATCACTCAATCATGGCTGACATATTGAGTGATGGTCTTGCTTCTATTGGATTTACATGGGTTTTTATTTCATAAATTCTCCAGAAAATCGTTCGTTCTTACATTATAATAACTTTGGTTTCTTTTTTCTATTTTTTCACTTTTGTAATTTTTTGGCTTCATCTACTAACTTTTTTGCATATTGACTGGTCGAATTTAGAAATCATCTCCACCGATGACTGAACTTGAGTTAGAAATGATGAATTGGTTGGCGAAAGCTTTTGGCATACCAGAAGATTTCCTGAGCTCTCAAAACAGTCCAGGTGGTGGAATAATTCAAAATACCGCAAGCGATGCAACTTTTATAGCTATTCTAGCTGCAAGAGGAAAAGCTGTGGAAGTACGTTATATAGAAACTTTTTGAGAATAGAAATAAGTTCCAGTTCATATAATAAATCTTTTGTAATGATAAACCTCTGATAAAATGCAGAAAAAATTTAATGAAAGATATTTTAGAAAGGATTCAGGAAATGGTTACCATAAGTATTTACAAGGTGATAGTCTGGACCCATCTACCCAATTTACTCCTTGAAAATTTCTAATTACACTAATTTGTCTAATCAGAATTAGTGAGCGCTAATCGCTTACTTTACAATTAGGAAGGATAAAAAAAATATTAAACCGCTCTTGTAATTCCAGTGATGGTTATTTATCAGTTTATTCAATGATTTATTAGACTATTTTCTTATCTATTATTTTCTGAACTCCAGAAAATGAAAGGAATTGACGCAAACGCAGTATCAATTCGATCATTGACCAGAGGCCTTTTAAGTACTATTTCGCATAAGATTGGCTCAAAGAATAGTAAGGCTAATAATAGGACGCAACCTCCTTATTTCCACGATCCCAACGTGATTAGCCTTCTTATTGCATATACATCTGATCAGGTTATTTTATAATTGTATAAATATATATATAATAGCAAAAAGATAAAATATTTCCACTTCTTGAAAATTTCTTTTTTTGATTACCAGTCATTATCAAATTATAATTTTTTTTAATTGTCTTTATTTTTTTCTTTTTTTTAAATTTAATTACCTCTATTTTTTTGCCTTTAATAAAAGTAAACCTATCATGTTATCAAAAATCTGAGTGGGTGCTGGGAACCCTGTATCTCTATTCCAAAGTGATTTTATGGTAAAATGGTCATGTCTCTTTGATGAGTCTTCCGATGCGCATGATACTTCTGACCCGGTGCGATAAATACACGATTCGCGCGTAATAGTAATAATAATAACAATCAATAATAATAAAATTCCGGAACAAGCATAGAATTTTCTCGCGAACAGAGATAATTACTCAAAACCCATTAATAGATGCGAGAATCTATCCACTAAAACTTTGTAAGCACGTCGAGGTGCTGGTTAAAGCAACTGGGAATATCAGAACACTTATGGATATTGCAAGCCAAGCGATCACTATCCACATTCTCTCTAAATACCGTGAATGTGGCTTGTTTGTTAGAAATTGTTCATCATCCTCATGTCGATTCTCGAGTAATTATTAAACCTGGTTCCAAGCAAAAATATTGGTTATATTGGCTACATTGTGGTGTCTTGGATAACTCAGGGTGAAAAGGCGTAACGACTGTCGTGTCTGAAAAGGCTCGATCAGCTCTGACTGAATGAAAGCCAGTAAATAACCGTTTGGCTTACGCGCGTTTCAAGGAAAAGTTCTGCAATATTTCGGTCATCAGTTTATATGCTCCAATTTTATGCACAGATTACCGTGATAAGAATAAGTTCTATGTGGAACTTCAATTGCTAACAAAGCCTCTACCGAAATATGGCATGGTCATAATCAGGGAAAACTGGAATCATAGATCATGATGCCATTACGGTGAATTCGGTAATTGGCAAATGCGGCATCGGGGTTCAGTGTGCCAATGGAGAAGGCCCCTTCTTCGTTTTGCCGAAGAGTATGAACTCTGTGTTACTAATATACATGCTTTCGACATCAGAGAAATTTAGTCATGTGGAACTCTCCAAATAACCAGTATTACAATCAGATTAATTATATATATATATATATTCGTCAACCACCGCTGGAAAAATTCTGTGCTTGATAGTCGTTCTTATTGCAATGCTGAAACTGGAAATGGATCAGACCATGTTCGAGTCAAGATTCATATAAAATCATTCATCATTCTTCTTCATCTTCTAACAGCTCTCACCATTACTGGTTAGCCTGGCTCCAACGGCTACAAAGGAAGAGTAAGACGCTTCCAAACGGCGCGGTCTGATGCCATCGTCATCTAATAGCCATTCCTTTTTCCATTTTCTAAATCCATATATTGCTGGTCCACCTATACGTTTCAAAATCTTTTCTGATCGTATCAGTCCAGGTCTTGATTGGCCCACTCGTAAAATGTACCTTAGACAAGAGTGGTCAAAGGCAAATAACTTCTAAATATCCTCCACTCTCACTGGCCATGTCCCAGAGCCATATAGCAAGATCAAACGAATCACGGCTATATAAATGCGGACTTTCATTTTTATAGTGATTTCACGAAAGATCCATAAAGGTTTCGTTAATGGAAGAACGCATTTCTAGCTACCATGATCCGAGTTGTAATATCGTTTTTTGCCTGGCCATTTGGTAATAGAGTGGACCAAAGATATTTAAAATTGTGCACTTCCTCAAGCGGCAATGAATATGTAAAAAGAAATATTTTATCAGCTTCTTACACATGAGGCAAAAAGTCTTTCATTTTATTTATATTGACTGTGTCAAATTCTCGCTGCAGCTGCTGACACATTATTTGCATTTCTTCATAAATGTCAGCAAAAATGACTAGAGCATCAGCGTATTACGAGGTGATACGATGACATCCCTTGAGCCCACAAGCAGTGTCCATTATCCAATCTATCGCGTAATTGAATACTGTGGGAAAAAGAAAACAACCTTGAGGATACCAGTTCTTATTTCGAAGAAATTTTCTCCATATACTAGACCTGCGCCGACATATGCTCATAAAATGCCTTTATGAGTCGAATGATTCTCTGGAACACCGTCGCATTCCATCACCCTCCAAAGCGCCGCTCTATCAATTGAATCAAAGGCAACCGCAAATTCGATGAAACACGTGACAGTGGGTTGCAAATATTTGAAGCCATGTTCCAACACCCTTCTTAACGTGAATATCTGGTCAACACAACCGCGCTCTGGTCTGAAACCAGCTTGATTAGGGCGCATCCTGCTGTTTCGTACTTCCATAAGTCTGTTGAGTAAAAGGGAAGCAAAAATTTTCGCTTTAAGCAAAATGAAATTTTCGTCTAGTAGCTGATTCCTCGATAATTTTCGCAATATGTCCTGTCATTTTTCTTGAGAATCGGGAGCAGAATTGCTTTGTTCCAATCATCTGATAATATTTCTTTTTTTCATACTATATTTGTTGAAAGGTGCGTTATGAAGATTTGATGGACAACACTTGAAGAATTTAGCAAAAAAACCATCTTCTCCCGGAATTTTATTGGCCTTAAGCTTATGGATCACTAAGATTATTTCTTCTGTTGTAGGCTCACAATTGCAAACATATCAGCAATATCAGGGGCAACAGATGAGGCTTCATGGTTGAGTTTGGCTTCAAAGAATTTTTTCCATCTTATGGGACGATTCTTAATACTCTTAACGAGCATGCCATTGCTATCTCTTACCATTTCAGTGATCTTTCTTCGAACTCAAGAGATGTGCAAATCAGTCCATAGCTATGAATAGAAGAACAGACTGAGTGAAGACGAACGCTGATGTAGTCCTTTTTGTTGATAATTTGCAAGATAGAAATGCAAATAATGTTAAACTATGCGTCAACAACTGCTGTAGCAATCCATATAGCTGCAATTCGCTTGACCTTGCTATATGGCTGCGAAATATGGCCCATGAGAGTGGAAGATATTATCAGCCTTTGACCATTCATGCCTAAGATATATTTTATCGAGCGAACAAAATTATATCCATCTTTGCTTAAATACCAATATTATTAATAATATTATAATAATATTATTAATAATATTATCATAATGAACGTCGCTTTCGCTGGTTAGGGCACATTCTCAGTCAAATCCGCCACAGGAGTTGACGCATATTTCGCTACTTGCTAAATCCTGTGATGGATGGCTTTTAAAGCGAGGAGGACCAATCAAGATCTGGACTGACACATTCAAGGAAGATTTTGAAGAAAGATTGTACAGGTGCACCAGCAATACAATGGAAAAAAGAATGGCTTCTATTACTAGTAGCGATGGCGTAGGACCGAGCAGCTTGGAGACATCTTTCCCTTGTAGTCAGCGGAACCATCCTAAGTAATAATTATGAGAAGTGTTAGAAGAAGAAGAAGCCAAACTATAATAACTTTTGTAGGCTTTTATAATTCTATTTTATAATTTTAGGCGCATTCATCCGTTCAAAAAGGAGCTATGCTTGCAGCTGTGCGTTTGCGAAAACTTAAGTCAAACCGTGGTGGCGCACTGGATAATTATATTATTACGCAGAATGTGTTGGAGGCTGCAATTAAGGTTCAGCAACTTTGTGCATAAAAATTCTGTCCTTGACCGCTCTAAGGTACATTTACACTCTAAGGTACATGGTATCTAAGGTGCATTTTACGGGTCCATCGAGCTGATAAAATATCGCATCCACCTTCTTTCAAATACCATTTGCTTTAATAATGTTATCACAGAGTGCCGTCTTCGCTGGTTAGGGCACGTTCTTCGTCGCTCACCACAAGAGTTGACACGTATTTCGTTACTTGCTAAGCCGTGTGATGGTTGGTGAAAGCGAGGTGGGCCAATCAAGACCTGGACTGATACGATCAGAAAAGATTTTGAAACGTATAGGTGGACCAGCAATATATGGATTTAGAAAATGGAAAAAGGAATGGCTTCTATTAGATGACGATGGCATCAGACCGCCGTTTGGAAGCGTCTTACTCTTCCTTTGTAGCCGTTGGAGCCAGGCCAACCAGCAATGGTGAGAACTGTTAGAAAAAGAAGAAAGAAGAAGTGCATAAAAACTCAGAAAAATGAAATCATTTGCTTGCATATTGTTTTAGCTGATGTTCATATACGAATTTGCTTGAGATGGCCTGAATATTGAGCGAAATATTCATCATTTAAGGAATAAAGTTTTATTCATTGAATTTCCACGAAATTATTTTAAGTATAAATTCTATCCTGTCGGAATTTGGAATATTTAGAGAATATAACAAAAAAAGATTTTAGGAAGATCGGCGCAATGGCCTCATTCCGTTTATTCTCATTGCTACCGTTGGAACAACAGCAACCTGTGCAGTAGATCCGCTGGACGAATTAGGACCGATATGTAATAAAGAAGGAATCTGGTTGCATGTCGACGCCGCCTATGCTGGTGAAATAACATTTCTGAATAAATATTTTAATTTGCTTTGCTTGAAATTTGCTTTCAATTCTATTTTTAAGGCTCTTTTAATATTTGCCCGGAATATCGGTATTTATTCAATGGGGTTGAATATGCCGATTCGATAAATATTAATGTCCACAAATCATTGCTCATCAACTTTGATTGTTCACCTATGTGGTTTAATTTTTTTGGATTTGATATTATTTGTTATTATAATTTTAATAATTTTAATTTATTATTATAATGATATTATAATTTTAAAACGAATTCCATGGAATATTCTAATTAAAATAATTCTTTTTGGTGAAATATTACGATAAAGGAAGATTTTACGGGTGATGAACTAAAGTTAAAGTTAAGGTTTAAAAATATCAAGTCTCTTGTCAAATATTTCGATGTTGAAGCACTTTATCTAAAACACGAATATCAAACTTCAGTCATCGATTATAGAGTAAAAATTTTTGAAATATTGTTTATGAAAGTTCTTTTTTTTTTCTTGCCATTTCACTCACTATTTCCGATTTCTGATTAGAGAAAAGATTTATAACCAGAAAGTACTACATAGGAGTGCAGCTGAGTACCGAAACGGAAGGCCTTTAATAAACATCCTTAATCCTACCAAGCGAACTTGTTTATCGACTCTTGGTAAAGGCTTTTCTAACTTCTTCTATGTAAGATTCTTATAATTTCAGCATTTGCAAATTGGGTTAGGTAGACGCTTTCGCTCGCTGAAAATTTGGTTTGTGATGAGAAGTCTTGGCATCATTGGGTTGCAAGATTATCTTAGAAAAGTTTGTACTACAAAATATTTTGAAAACATTAGCAGATTATTGATTCATTATAGATATTTAGCAAATTTTATGCTGCCAAAATGGAGGACTTTTTACTTTTTATATGAATTTTGATACTGTAATTTTTTTTATCTATGGATAAAATGGCTCATTTCATACCATTGGTTAATACTATTATTTCTGGTTAGGTCCTTGGGCTGATAAGGAATTTTTTCACAGGGTAATTTCGCAAAGTAGTTAATGATGGAAGTTCAAATGGGCTTCAAGCAACATATGGATTTCTTAATGACAAGTTATTCTTATCAAAAATAAGATTCGGAGGAAGATACTCGAGATAATCTGGACAAGTTGCTTCAAAAAAATTCATAAATCAGAATAAGCTCGACTTACATTGGGTCCTAAATTAATTATTGTTATCCTGCAATAAATTAAATTCTATTTTTGCTATTTTTTGCTATATTTATTTTTGCTATTTTTGGTTGAATTAGTTCGTTTATTGATAATTTTGACGGAAAATGAATTAAAATTAATATATCTAAACGAATACAAAGTGTGAAAATTTCAGATGATCGAAATGGCTGCATATTTCGAAGAACTTATAAACTTCGATGGTGTGCTCGAATTATTTGTTCCACGAAACCTCGGTTTAGTTTGCTTCAGAATAAAGGTTTATACCAGTTTACCAATTTCATCGCTCTTTTCATTTCATGGCGTGGATTCAAAAAAACTATTTCTATTAAAATTACACGTTATTTATCAACCTAGATGCTAATACCCCCCCTTTCCCCCGTACTTCTATCGCTAAATGATTCTCTAGCAAAAATTTCTACTCGTAATTAGTCAGAAATGATAGACCAACCATTTAATTTTTATTTATTTCTTATATTTTTTCACGATTTATTTTTTTCCAGAACTCAACAAACTCACTGAATGAGCAATTATATGAGCTTCTAAGCAAAGATGATCGAATTTTTCTTATTCCATCATCAGTCGATGGTAATTATTTTCTTCGTTTTGCGATTTGCAGCCAAATAACGACAAAAAACGACGTGAAAAACGCATATCAAATTATATATGATTATGCCACATCGATTAAGCAAAGCAGCGTTTTTCAGATGAATTTGGAATGATGGATAAGCATAGAAATTGAATGTCCAGTAGCTTCTTTTTCTTTCACTCTGTATTTTTCGTTTCCTTGCGTATCCTCGCTTTACTGATCGCACTGACTGTTGACTGCTGACTCTTAGGTTGAGATTATTTCAGATTGATTTGAACGATGAGGTTACAAATATCCCCTAAGCACTGTCGCATTTCTCTTTTATTTACAGTTTATTGGCACAAATAGTCGAAATTATGATATTCGACCTTAGCCAAAGCAATATATTATCGCGTTTTTTCGATGAAAAAATCTTCCAAAAATTGAGAAAATTCGCTTTACTATTTATTTCTTGAAATGAGTGTGGCAATTACACTTTTCTTAAATTTATTGTACTTTGTTAGGTGTATAAGCTTAAATTAGAATAAAAAATAGCTGAAATGAAATATTAATTTTAAAATTTTCCAGTAATTTTGCTTATATTTCCATGTTATTGTAAGGTATGATTAGCCTTAAGGCTTAGAAACAACTTGCACTGTTCCTTGTTTAAGAGCATCGTCAACAGAAATTATTTGCATGCTATGTCCGCGCAGCTCGGCACAATCGAAATTCCCGTCTTTCCACGCCAAAATTTAAAGACAAAATCGCTCAAAAGCACCTGGCTAATCTTTTTGCTGTTATAAAGAAATCAAGGCGAGCAAATTATGACACATCAGGCAATTTGTCGTAATATGTAGAAAATAGAAAATACGCAGTCGAGACACGATATACGATCTCAACTTCGCAAGGCAATTTTTTTAAAAATTTAACATCAAATTAAAAACATGGCTCAGTTTTTAGATTGAATTTTATTATTATTTTAAATTGCATTAAAATAGAAATTCGTTTAAAAGCAACCAAATATTTTAAGCATATAACATGAAACAAATTAAAATTAAAAGAATTTTGTTTCTGCTAAAATATATAAAAATTAATTTCTGCTAAAATATATAAAAATTATGTTCAACATTTGGCTAATACTATAGCTAAGAGCTAAATATTAGCTAAATTAAGAGAATTTAGTTATAAATTTGGCCCTCGGGGAATTTAATTGAACTTCTCCCAATTAGTTCCGAAATTTTTGACTGCGTTTGATAACAGGGCTTGTGGCACAATGGTTTTGTACCATAGGACCCCGAACTTGTGTAGTTCAAGTTTTATAATTATAATTATGAATGGCAGAGCATTTATTTGCAATGAATGCTTTTCTTTCTTAACCATTTTCTTATTGGTTTATTTCATTCACATTGGCGTACATTGCTTTTAAATAACATTTCAGCTGAATAAAAATTTGCATAAATTCAGTTTTTTCATTATTTAATATTTAATTAAAAAGAAATATTCATAAATTTGAAATGAAAAAATTTTATGTTCAAACATGCATCTGAAAACCGTGTCAAAAATTATAAATTTGAATGAAGAAGAAAAATTTTCCAAAAAACTGAAGCAATCTAATTCAATCTTTGTTAAGACAAGTAAGCGACAAAAAATGTGGACTTGGCCATTTTTCTACATGAAAACTATGCAATAAGTGAGAAGACAATCGGTTCATTTGACGGAATAAAACAGTCACTCGAAACTCAACATTAGAGGTGGTTTGGTTGAAAACTATTCGCAATATTTGCTACCGGTAGCTTGTGAACACTGAAGATATTTGCTCTGGCAATAAACCATGCCTAATGCTAATGCAGAAATGCTGATTTTTTTGCTGAAAGCCAAATAACGAATAGTTTTTTTGAATGCTATTTTCTAAAAAATAAGGAATAGTAAATCAACAAAATTCTCGAGCATCAGAATTTCTCGCTTTTTTGTTTTTTTTCAGTGTTGGCCAGTTGTCGAGTTGTAGTCGTTTATGTGCAATTTTAGGCGCATTCACCAATTCCAAATGGAAGCATGTTTGCTACAGCGATAATTGAAAAAAAAAACTTAAATCGTTATGGTCCACTCCATAATTTCATTATTATTAATCATATTAAATCTGATGTACTGGAAGTTGTTGGGAAAGTCTCTACTTCTTCAAAGAGTTATTTAATGTATTGTAGGGAAAAATACAAAATGTAGGGACTTGGCTTTTCCTACTTTGGTCCATAGAATAGCCAAAAAAATAACTCTCAAATGGTGCGCAATAGAATTCTGTTATATGTTTTTGATGCTTTCCTCGGCAAAAGAAAGAAGATTATAAAATTCGCCAATTTTTAGCAAATTTAAAATTTTTTCTTGTATTTGCTCTTTTTTTAAGGTACACTTCCTTCCAGTATAAAGAAAGTTGATAGTTGAAAGTTGATCTAATTACTGACTTCGAGAAATATTCATTGAATTGTTTTGTCAGATCAGTAGGGAATTTCTTCGACGG